AAGTCACCAAATCATTTTTCTGGAATACAGTCACCTCCATGATCTGAACTCATTGCCTTACTAAATCACAGTAAAGCACTCTTTCAAACACTTGTGATGAGTGAATGATTAAGAAAGACAACAGTGTTTAGAATTGCCAATCCTTCTCATGGACGTTACAGCTGTGCTAACTCGGTAATGTAGGATGATCTTGTGCTGTCAGCGACGAAATACTGCTGGCATTATAGGCTCACAGTTCAGTTTGAATTTTCCTGCCAAATTTTTTCATTGCAACCATTTCATACTGTTAGACGGAGACTTACCTGTAAATAGGCAGGGCCTTGAAACTCAGTTGCTTAAACCTGAACGTCTCCCAAATAGATCATAAGTGAGAACCAACCAGAATGCGTGCGTAACTGAGCTTATTATATCAAACATCATGGACTTATTCGCTTTTCTCGTTTCTCTCGCTTTTTACAGTAAATTTTTCTCTGAAGTTTGTCTGCAGCACCATCATTTCTTGCCCTCCTAGTAATTCAGTTTTGAATTGAGACTTGCAATACTATAATTACTTTGTGATATAAGGCAAGCCGCTTGAGCAGACAGTGTAGATAAATTTACCCACGATATCATCTCTTCAAGTTCAAATAAATATTGTAGGTGGGTTTTAGATGAAAAATGCCTGACAAGATATTTTAATTGTCATATGCATTTACAGCATATGATATATAAGCCTACGTTGAGACTTTCTATAATAATCTCGTTTTTTTGCCTGGTAATAGTAACCGTAATTTAGATTGAATATACAAGTTTTGTTAAATTCTGAAAGTACTTGTTTTTGCTTTTCCTTGTACCTTTTATAGCTGATAGGTCAACAGGAGTAACATTACAAAGCTGAGCTAAAGTGAAAGTGTTCTTTTACAAAAAAGTTTGGAATCGTCAAGGTAAACCTTTATGCTCCAGGTATAAACATCTATCATCTTTGTTACATCTATCTTGTGTTTGCAGCATGTCCAGTTCTCACAATACTGGTGGTAAGCAATAATATTTTTAACCTGTTATTGAAATGGTTTCTGTTGAGATCGAATTTATAAGATGCTAATTTCTCTGATTTCAACCTTCTCTGTCTTGATGCGCTAGAGTTAGACTGTGATTAGGAAGGTTTATGATCGATTCAAAAACTAAAAGAAATTCATAAAATGTTTCATCATCTTTAGTTTAAGTGATATTCACAATAACGCATCCGTATAAATGTTTTCCTGCACTGGTAAGATGATGTTATCCCTTTGTAAATTCCACATTTTCCTTTAATTGTGGTTTGCTCGAGTAAAAGAGGAAGCTCTTAGCCCTTCTCAATCAAGTTTAGCAAGATTTTGTTGCTAATGTGGGATTGATTTAACTATTTGGTTTGTTCCACTGACATCAATGATAGAGGTGTTTCAGCGGTCGATGAACTCACTTCCGTAGCCATCTTTCGGTTTACCAAACGGCTCGCTTCTCCTTAGGAAAATCATTCGTAAGATTCTAAAATTTCCTTAGATACATCAATCGATTGTTACTTAAAAGGTAGAGAATCATTTAGTATCATTTTCATTCGCGTGGTAATTCGTGTTTTGAGTCACAAGTATTTTTACGAAATACAACATTCAAATACGTAGTGGATATAGATGATATGCTTCGTAAGCACATTTCAATAAAACGATGACGCTGCATATTTATTTGGAATTCCTTTGGGAAATGCTGTTTCGTTATAGAATCAATTACTCGACAAAAAACTCTTAAAGACAACACACTGTACAAGTTTCATATTTTGCACCAAATTTAGCCTCTTTTCCTCGAAAATTCGAACAGATTTCATAATTTTAGGCAACAGCTACACAATACATCCGTTTGACAGCGAGAAACTAAGTCAACAGGTAAATATTAATCGATTACCCGTCGCTGGAACAACGGCGAATACGTTCAATTTTTGAACGTATTTTTCAAATTTGTGAGGCAAGAATATTATCCAAATAAAAATCTCTTAACATCTATATCGATTCGTTTGGAAATTTTTTACTTTTTTTCTTAAACGAGCAGACGATTTCAGTCTCTAGCGAGGCAAAGTTAAAGCGCTTATTTCAGTTTGTGACTAAATTTATCCCTCTTATTCAGTATAGTGAACGCTTGACTTTGGTCAGTATGAATGAAAAGCGATGTATTTTGATGACCTTTAACAAAAGTTTTGATGTTTGGAAATCTTACCGGTCTCGGCTTCGCTCCACTAACAGTTGTCACGATGCACTAGTTCCTTTAGTCAATGCTCTAATTGCACCGTTTTTAGGCTACATCTAGCCATATGTTGTTACCTCGACATATTCTGCAATTTTGAAAATACTTTTCCGCCTGATGTTGTAAAGAGAGGTTCACTCGTGTCTTCGACTAGATGAAATCACTCACGAAAAGATGAAATCACGAAAAATCTCGTGGCATATTTTAATTAAAACTCGGTTCCTATTCTGTCAACCAGTTATAGCTCGGCAAATAAACTCGTGACGAATGTGTGATCATGTAGAAGTTAGCATTTCGCCTGTTCTGGGTGTTATCATTGTTCGCATTCATTGAGTAATATTTTATTTATTGCTCAAGATAATTTCATCTTGAGTGGAAATTGATTATCATCAATTTGACGATAAATTAGCTCTTGAGGTGATTTAAGTATTTTAAGCTGAGGTTTTTCCTGTTGGCTATTTTGCCTACACCGGTTTAGGTAAAAATCAACGGCTGTATCGATGAGATACGAGGATTCCCTCGTGGTTACGACAAATTTCTCCTTCTCTTGGGAGTAGTAAACCTAGAAATGTATAACTCGCTAAAATGGCCTCGTTGCGAGAAAGTAGGCGGCCAGAAAACAAGCAATGCACTGCATTTTCCATTTTCAGCGAAAATTTGACTGTATTTTCAAGTTTTATTCCAAAGAGCGGTCGTAAATATTCCCATACAAACTCTCATATTTTCGCCATGATTTTTATTACGCAAAAGGATCGTCTCACAGCTGGAGCTCGGGCTGTCTGTGGGTAGACGGGCAAACGTTTGGCAAATTGATAGTGATGCTTATCTAAGCCATTTTTTCGACATTTGGAAATCAAATTGAAATACCAGCGTTAACCATGTAGCCTCTTCAACGAACAAGCATGAATTGCACAAATATTTCAGATATTCACATTTCCTATTTCCTATTTGTATATTTCCTCTTAGTAAAAAAAAGATAACATTTTCCTCCAGCTGTATACAGGCTCCCATACTTTATTGTAAATCTCCTCGAATAAGTCTGCGTTTGTTAAACGAAAGGCTTTAGGGAATTAAATATGATTCATCCGCCAGTCTTATGTTATCGGAAGGATCTCTGCATAAATTTTGTGACTATTAAAGGATTCTCGGACCCCTTCATGGGAAACCAACACATCTCGACAGACTGCTAGACGAATCATCCTACAACCCGACATCACACAAAGCCACAACTATCAGGACTCTAACACGACGAGTGTTACCAGTATGTAACACGACAGACAGCTTATCCGACGAAAACAAATACCTCGATCGTGAATTTTTTAAAAAAAGAGATCAATTGCTCCGACTGCTAAGCCTCCTACATCGGAGAGGCTGGCAGAAACCTCACAACAAGACTGACTGAATACAAGCGGGCGACGAGGAAAGGTGATTTCAAGAATCTCATTGCTGAACATCACGGACCTACGAAGCACACATACGGCACTGGTTTACCAACTTAGATTAGACTACCCTGAACAGGTGTCAATCACTACCGGCACCATACAAACAACTTACTCACGAAATTAACATCACAGACGAACCGAACAGAACGACCTAACTTTACCGACAGATTGAAACAGACCAATCACGACCGACCAACGGCACTTGGGTTTTACAGCCAATGACATCATAGCAAAACTGACCGATCAGTTTATATGAACCGGACTTAGAACATTCGACCAACCACAACCATTCACTCGACTCTGATGATGACTTCCGCTCTATTTGTCAAAACATCAGTCACCATTACCGACAACTGACAGTCCTTCACAGGACGATCGCACTTCACTATCACGTGTTTTCCCCGGGTTCAAACCATTTGCTGTACCAAATAGTTCATTTTGCATCAATTTTCCATCATCATGTTTACTCTTTTGCATCAATAAAGTAAGCTTTTATCAGAACATTCCAATTCTGCATAGCAAAATATCAGTAAACGTTGCTCTCATAGAGGTTAGCTTTGTTTGTGACGACTTGCGATGCTTCTTCAAATTAGTAAGGCATACATAAGAATTTCGAGTCCTAAGTCTTGAGCAACAACAACGAGAAATAATGATGATAATAATGATAGTGATAGTAACGAAAATGTTAGTAATGATGACGATAATGACGATGATGATAAAGGGGATCGAAATGCGTTGGTGAAAATAAAATAAAGGGATGCAAACAATAATGCGTATCGTCGGAACCCATTGCCCGACGAAGGCTTACCACATGGAATCCGAAACGTAACAATTTGAGAATGGACAGCGACTGAGAAAAGGGAGACAGATAGATAGAGATAGATAAAATAGTAGAAATGCACATATATTGTAAAAGTTTTTACCACTCTTCCCATCATTTTAGCTGCTTTGTTTTCAACAATTGTTGACCTTTTTGTAGTATTACAAATGTCACTAAACTGTAATCTGATTGGCTTATCCACTCGCCATCAATCTATTTCGTGATGGATGATTGTGATGGTGGATTCGGGCTTCCCCCTCGTCATCTATTACTATTATTATTATTATTATAAGAATTATCGTGCTCATCTAATTTTTAAGCATAAAGTAGACGGACATGTTATATTTTCCATGTACTATTAACTTTTTCAGTTTCGATATGGCTACCTTGTGTAACCTCATGTTTTTTTTACGGTGTGATGATAATTACCGATACAGGTGCACAAAGTTAAGTAAACTTCCCACCTTCTTTGTCATTCCACATAAAGCATGCCTGGACATCCTCTTTCAAAAAGGGACAAAGAGGCTTTAGCCGAGAAGTACCTTTGCCTATACTGTCAACTGCTTCTAAGAGACGCCATGCAGACAAGTTGTGGACATTTTTATTGCCAGTCATGTTTGGTAAATCTCATTAAGTAAGTGTACGTTCGAAGATTTTAAACTGCTACTATTTTTGCTGTTTTATATTATCATCACTAAAGACGTACTGGTTACACTATTCATATTAGAGAGATACCTAACTGATTCCTGTTCCATCTTACAAATCAGTGGCTGTTTTTCTATCAGGGATGAAACCTCCATGGTGATGATATGTTTAAAGGATCAGACAAGGCTTCTGCCCACTCAGGTTTGGATTTTTTTTTCTTTGTACTGTGTCTTTTTCAAATGCGATCTTATGTAATTACAACTTTTATAATCAAAAAGCGAATTAAGTAGGAAATTCATTATACATCTCATTAGTCAGCGTTTATTTTAGACTTTGAAGGGAAGGTTTGGGACACCCCTTGGTGAAGGCAAAAACGAACTAGATCATCCCTAAACCGCGAGCCTGCTGATGGGCGTAAACGATAGCCGTTTTAATTGGTGCCACTGTCTCACAAGCGCACCAGTAATAACAACACTTTTCTTTTTTAATGAAGATGATTTAATTTTCTAACATTTTACTTGAATTGTCTGGCATCATTAGGAATCCTATGTTTAAAAAACAAAACAGCAGAGCAAACTCAGAGAATGACAATAAAGCATGACGTGTAAGCAAAATTTGCATGCGAGCCGGAAGTAACAGGTAACACAGCGCAATTAAAATGGGAACCAAAAAAAACCTTAGGTAAAACGTATATTAGTGCGTTTTTATTCAAAGAAGCAATAAGATTTGCTAGTTGAAAAGGAGCAAGTCTATCTTAATCTTGATCAGCGGGATAGCAAGGGTACGGGTAAGTCGAATGTCTCTCTCCTGCTCCTTAATTCTGGCATGTATAGGTCTTCTGGCCTCGCTGATGTGAACTGAAACAAATTCACTTGGGATCATGTTTACCATCCTATGAACCTTCTCACTTAGTCACGTCATTTGTGAGACTTTCAGCGCGCCGAGACTTTAATTAAACACATTCTCTCATTCCTAGTGTTTCGTGAGCCTGTCTTAAGATATATCTTCCGCCGGTTAAAAGAAATATGCAAGCAAGCAGTGGTGCTATCAGACTTGTGGGTAACAGCTTCTACCGAATGAAAGCAACCGTAGGCGTTGCCGTCACCATCCGACCCTACCCTCACTATTAAAATTGAGAGAATTTTTCTAGTGTCGACTCCATTCCTGAGTGTAGTTCGAAGTTGTTACCACCAGCATTCCAAAATGGCAATATGAGATGCATGCATATCGTCTGAGCTTTGGTCATCTCATACGAAAAGATTTCTGAATAAACATTTTTCAAACTCTTCAACGATCCAATTATGATCACCTCTTAATACCTAACAACTGCACTCTCTCAGGTTTTTGCAGACAGATTCATGCGGAGAGAAATACTTGCTCTTGCCGTATGCTGCACATTCTCGGATGACGGATGCCATTGGAAAGGAGAAGTCAGACATTTAGAGGTAAATACTTGTTCTCTTTTATTACTGTTTCACCACTTTTTATTTTAATCCGTTGACGTCCAAGTGGGTTTGGATAAGAATTGTTACGGCAAAGTCGACCGAGATAGAGGTGCTCTCTGATTCTTAAATTTATTTCACTAACGAAGAAAGTTTCCCTTGCATCAAGTTGTTTCTGTTTGATTAAAAAATCATTTCTAATTCATGTATCATCCTACGAATTAACCATGACATTTAAACAAATCTACCACTTCATGTAGGCCAAGTTTTCATTTTTACTAGGAACAACTTTGTGATTAAACCATAAACATTCGCCTTCTTTTCGTACAGAAGCCTTAGATGAAGAGGTTTTTTTGGTTGTACTTTAATTATTTCTAGCAAGCCGCGAATATGTATCTGCGACTTAATGACTGAGTACCAGGAGATACTTAAGTATAATTTTGTCCTGTCACAGAGCCATATCTCAACTTGCGAGTTCCTGAAATTACCATGCGTTCATGCCGAGTGTGGTGTATTGGTGAAAAAAGCTGATATTACCAAGCATTTACAGGAGGAATGCAAGTACAGATTAAAAAAGTGCTCATTTTGTCAACAACAGATCAATCTGAACAAGATGAAGGTGAACTGTCTGCATATATTGTTCACATAATGGTGCTACTTTGAGGACACAAATATTGAAAGCCCATAAGCTTTGGTAATCATAGTCAGGACGACCAGCTGAGGCCCAAACTAATTACGATTAGTGCTCTACATTGTTTAGATTTGTCTTGGGTAATAATTTAGCGGAGCCTTTAAGTTGTAGAGAATTTGAAATGATTATGACCCTCTTGACAAAACAGCCTTAGTTGCCAAAACAGCGGAAATAAAGAATAGGCATGAGCGCCATTTACAGGTGGTATCAATACTAAGGTGACGTGGCAGAACAAATCATAATAGCTAAATTAATGCAGATTGTCACGAACTTCCTCTGAATGAAAAATTCAGCACTTGGGTCAAACGATAGTACATATACTGTACGAGTGAAACACGCACGTTTACTCAAAGTGCCCCTCTCTGACTGGTGGTAAAAATGATGGTGCATGCTTTCAGCAACGTGCAGCAAAATTAGATTTACAAGGTTCCCCTTGACCAGGCAATCAAATTGAGGACAAATGATAGAAATGGAAGTAACACTAAAATATTTTCTAGAGCTTTGTCTTCATTGAATTATCTGTCCTATAGGTGCACCAGGAGACGGACTGTCCGGCATATCCAATTCGTTGTGGCAATTGTAACAGAGAGGACATTCCTCGTAGACAGGTAAATGTTTTAATTAAATAAGAATGAAGTTGTTTGAATATCGCCTCATAATTTGAAACAGCGGTAAAAGAATGACTCATTGCTAGTTTCAATCTTTTAAAATCACGTGAGGACAATCAGTGCGCAGTGCAATTTCAAAATTTTTATGAAGATATTATCGTTACTTTTATCGTTGCTTCCATTATTAAGTACTACTACTATTATCATTATTATTGTTATTGTCATTATTATCAATTACTATCACTGGCAGGCTAATTTTCTACTTTTTAAGAAATGAGAGACTTCGGGAATTTGGGAATTTGGACTTGAGTGTTTTTTTCGAAAGGAACATCTCACTCATAACCACTGAACTGAAAATTGAATTTCCTTTAGCAGACTAGATCTTGGTTCTCTGATAGTGTCTGTTTTTGGAGTAAAGGATTGACTAGGCTTACCTCTGTTAGTCTATTAAGTACTCGATGAATTACTGATCTTGTTTTTTTAGTTGCGAGATCACCAGGACCCAGTTTTTGGAAACTGTGAAAATGTGGAGGGCCCATGTCCATTTTCACATATCGGTTGTTCAAAGAAAGAGGTCAGTAAGAGATATTTAGTCCATTTACTCTCAAAGCGCTCAACGGGAAGGACCACGCGAAATCATTTAAACAGTTTCTCTATTTCCCACTTCAAGACATCAAAGCCTCTGAAAGTACCCTCTACATATACATCATTGTGTTACAGGTTGTTTCTAAAGATGCAACCAATAGCGAAGAATTGCGATGTAAAGAAAGTTCTCAAACGAAATTGGAGCGCTAACCCTGATCTTAGATAGTTCTAGTAAACATGCATATCTGTATTTATTATTTTCTTAATGTGTGTCGAATTTTTACAGGTCCTCAACAGGCAAGAAAGAAAGAAACATCTGGAACAGGAAAATATATTTCACACGTCTCTGCTCCTTAAAAAAACCTTGCAGATGACTAAAGAGGTTGAAGGTATTTTAACACGAAACCCCTTAGTCATGTCTAGAAACCCTCAGCTCCTTTCAAACTTTGACGGGATAGTTCAAGATATTCTTAACCAGTTGCAAAGTGGTACAGAAGAGAGAAGAAACCAAGAGACCAAATTAAGAGAGCACAGTGAACGAATAACCTCTCTTGAGAGATTTGTGGCTTCAAGAAATGTTTTGGGAACTGAGGCGTCTGTCCAACGTCTGCCTGAATCTGGACGGGATTTGCCATCTGGTGAAAACTCAAGAAGACTGGTCAATCTTGAAAACAGGACCGCTGACCATGAAGTTCTACTGGTCGAGAACAATCGCACAATGGAGGAAGTAAGACGTGATGTCGGCAACATTAAGAGGCAACTTGACACCATCCACGAGAGCACCAGAAGGCATGACCGAAGGATTGAATCTATAGAGCACACACTGGCTCTCAGGAACGTAACCCTGGCTGATTTGGAGGAATACGTAAAACAGCAAGAGTTCTCAAGCTACGATGGCCAGCTGTTGTGGAGGATTCCTGATTATGCCCGTAAACGAAATGACGCAGTGACTGGACAGCAAGTCTCCTTCTACAGCCCGTGTTTCTTTACTAGTCGCTACGGTTACAAAATGTGCGCCCGCATTTATCTGAACGGGGATGGAATGGGAAGAGGAACTCACATCTCGATCTTTTTTGTGGTCATGCGCGGTCAGTATGACGCACTTCTCCGCTGGCCATTCAGACAGAAGGTCACCTTCATGTTGCTAGACCAGGATAACGTGGAACACGTGATTGACGCATTCAGACCTGATCCGAACAGCTCATCCTTTCAGAGGCCAAGAAGAGAAACCAACATCGCCAGTGGGTGCCCGATGTTTTGTTCGCTGGCTGAACTGAATAATCACGCGTATGTCAGAGACGACACCATGTTCTTAAAAATAATTGTAGATACTTCTGATTTGTAGATATGAATGTCCCCTAAATTTAAGGATAAATTTACAGGAGTTTCGGCTCATCTTCTCTCTTCGATTTCACTCACTCATGATGCCTCGAACTCGTACATTTCGCTTGCCATTCAAGGTAGAGGGATCACCTCTGGTAAAACGAAGAAAACAGATGCACTTCTTCATGCAGTAAATATTCTGATTTTTGTCCAGGCATCCCACCGAGTCACCTTGCAGAAACCAGACGGTTTCTAATTAATGTCGGTGAACGATCATGAAAAGATGACAGCGTCGAGCTGTAAGTGAAGATCACGTAATGGTAAGTGATAGCGTTAAAGCCAGGGCTGGTTGTTTTCTGTGGAGGCGCATTAACCTAGTTCGATACAAAGGCATTAAGTCGAGTGCGTTTATCTGGAAATGTGTTTTATCCTTGGGCAAGGTTATTAGCGCCCTGTTGCCCCTCTTTCCCCAAGAGTTTATGGGTTTCATAAGAACTTAAAAGTAGCCTGGCACCGATAACGCCAATTTGCTAACTTGTGCTAAACTAAATGAGCAGGCAATTCCGTTTCAGCGTTTGACTAAAACAAAATGACGACCTCGGACAGACAGACGGCAGTGCGAGTCCAATTATTAGAAGTTCGTGATCAGGTCGCGCAAATAATAGCCGATACATTCTCAATACACCCCTTTCACTACATGACATGATGACGCATGATGGCGTTTTCCCGCGAAGGTTCTTTTTTAAGCCAATGTCATTATAGTGTACAGAGAGGGTGAAACGAAACACTTTTCATCTATTGCGAAGATGAAAAATGGAGCAAAATTATAAAGAAAGGGTGAATAAGGTTTTTTTACAATTATGTAGGGAAAAAAGGAAAAAAAAAGACATTTATGTTTAGGAATTAATTCTACACCCTGTGTTTAGCAGCTAAGTTACTCAGTAAGGACAGAACGATTGTGGAATGCAGGCCACACAGTGTTATGGCAAACACTTGATTGGAAAGAAATAGTTTTAATAAGTACAATCGTTCTTCTCATATACTGTACTTGGTTTACTTAATTGCTTTTCGACTGATATTTTTTCTCAATAAGATAACCTAATTGGAGATGTTGGCGAGTTTAACATCCGTGAGAGTGAAGGACTAACTCCACTTAATGATGAGCATATTTAACAATTAGGCTGTAGATAATAGTGGGGAGGGAAAAATATAATTTTTTAAATACATATAATAAGCTTTAGTTTTATCATCATATTGCAAATATTTTTTAGCAGTCATTGATAGAAGAAATCAACAATTTTGTTTTGTATCTTATTGAAAAATATTTTATCATATTTTAAAATTTAGTTTGTATATTCTTTAGCATCTTATTAATTAGGCTCATAATTATATAATTTAAAAATTTGAGGGAGCTCTCTGCAGCACACTCGTAAATAATCTGATTGGTAGTCGGACCAGTTTGGTCCACTCCCCCACCCCCTCCCTTTTGGTGCTCAGACTTTTTTCTTCGCACATTTCTCTCTCTATTACTAAAGCTGAAGAATTTAAACTAATTATACAAGAATTTTCGAGAAAATTTAGCTAATTTTAGCTATTAGGTGTGTTTTTTGGTTGCTGTTAGTATCACTGAACAGTTCTAGAGAAAAAATAGATATATGGCGAAGATTGAATTTTCAGAACTAAATTTGTCAAGAACTTTAATAAAGACGAAGGAAAAAAGGAACCTGAAAGGTAAACAAAATTGTATTTATTTACTATGTTTTTCCATGCAGAACGATTGGTTTTTACCGCATATACTTATAATACTTGTTTACTTGCAATATTGGCCACTCTGTAAGTTCGAGATTAGAGCTGTTTTAAAAAAATAAGAAACCGACTGACTGCGGAGTTACCTATCGTTAAATTGTATAGAGATGATCACTTTTCCTGAATTTCTAATTTTTTCTTCACTTTTGTGCAATGATGGACTAACTGAGATCTCCGGGAACACAGTTTTGAGTTACCGTCGGAATTTCCGATCACAAGCGTTTTTGCGAACAAGATCAGTAACTGTAAATATTTTCTCTTTCTTATGAATCTTGTGCTCTTCTGGGCCGATAAGCAGGATTGAAAAAAAAACCCAGCTGGGGAAAAAATGATAAAACTTTTGATACTCATATACTGGAACCAGCCGACCTGAAGTTTTACCGGATCATACAAATTATTTAGAGCGCTTTTGGTGACTAAATAATGCAGCAGAGTGTCTTTATTTTAGGAGTGGTCGTTTTATTGATGCACAGGGCTAACAAAAGAATCATTATTTGAGCTGTCTGCCTCTCTCTATTATTATATTTTTAGAATTAAAAGCATTCAAGCCTAAATTTGTCTGAAATGTTATAGTTACAATAGAGAACTGTGCCTTAACCAACTGCAATGTGGAACAGATAGGTTAAAGTTTATTTCCTTCAGGTTTATTTTTTATGTTATAATCCTCATTATTCCCCTCTTCCATAACAACATTGTAATTTTCTACTTAGAGAAAATCAGAAAAAAAAAGTTACAAAACGAGAAACTTTTGCTGACGAGCTTGAGTGGTGAATAGTGAGAACATTAAATTCTGCTAACTACTTCCAACGCTGCTGTTGGTGTTGGGGAAGAAATTTGCATTCCAATGATAAGTCAATATTTTATGATGAACACACAATAAATCGTTCATTAGTTAATAACAGAATGTTTTTCTTAAATGTTCCTCGCCGAAGTATTCACCCTTTGAGTCGGCATACGCCTGCTGTAACTGGAGAGCTTGCGAATGGTGAACTGATTTTGGTGCAAAGGTAATTTTCTGTGATCTTGCAAGAATCGAAAACTAGTATGTGCACAGCATACCTTTATGCAATGTTCTCTTTCACTAGCAACATATGTACTGGTATAATTCCAAGAATTTTTACAGCAGCGAATCCTCTGCAATTTTCGTTTCAACATTTATGCTTAAAATTCTCTAGGGACAAAATTCGTCCAGAGCTCTTTTCGAACTAAAAGTAACAAAAATCTGCTTTAATAAGCATCGCTGTAGACAAATTTACAGATCAAATTTGAAATAATATATTTTTTCAAACTCAATCCAGCTCAGCTTACAAGCTTGCATAATTATTTCATTTACATCCTAAATATATAAAATGCAGGTACTATTATCAACGTATCAGAATAGACTTCCCCTGTGACTTACAATCTTAACAGGATTCAAAATATTTATTTGCATAGGAAGTGATTCGATTTTTACTGATATGCACATGTCTATTGCGTCTGGAGCATTAAAGCGCACTCAAGCTGGAAACTATCAAGAGCGCCGGTGTGCAGTCATTTGGGTCGAAAATTCGACTGTTAATTTATTCCTGTTTCCGAGTTTGTCTGTGTGGCTTCAGGATGTCACAGAGACGCTTGCATGTGTCTGGCACTTTGCCCAAGTCGCCATGTTAAACTGATTTTGTCAATCTATGATAGCATACATCGCCGACGGTAGAAATCAAATCACTAATTGGTTTCGAAACGCTTGGTTAATACACACTTTATTATCGTTTTGTTCTGGTTCATTTCTATCAATAAGTGTTTCTTTAGTTAATGACACAATAAGTTTGTTATCTCCGATCAGTTCCCATTAAGTACACGTGTAAAGATTCTATTTCAATCATCGATACAAAGTCACTGCCACAAAATCATCTCTGCTAAATCGTCGCTGCCAGATAATCGCTACAAGCTATTTGCTACCGTTAGGATCTTGACCAAAGTAAGTCTCTATTTCTTTTACATTTACGTTGTTTACCTTTGGCTGTATTATTAGTACAGTTCTCGCATTCAGTTTTCCGTACAATCGCTTTATTTTTAGTTAGATTAACGTTACATTTCGCAACGCATTTTTCTTAGTTTAGTTTCTGTTGTATTTTCTTTTAGTTCGAACCACACACACACACACACACACGCACGTACACGCAACCTCAACCGCTACTCTCATTACGCAAATTACGTCTTAGCGCTATCATCTAAAATAAAAAAAGATCACTGTGTCCGTTCGAATTGTCCGCTCATTCACCTGGGTAACCTTTTGAGGTTACAATCACTAAGAATTTATCTTCATGATAACTTCAGATCTTTTTCATAGATTTAGAGGTTTTGATTTGTTTTGCATATGTTATCAGCCCGGAAGGTTATTCTACCAGAGACTATTTATAACCATCCAATCATGACACTTCACTTTCCTTGAGCGCTTGACCTAACAATATGACAGGGTTACTTTGTCGACATGGTAATTCTAGCATTGTTTTGTCGTCGATTTACCTTCTTTACTAAGTTGTTTTTACCACGATTTCGAAAATAGTTGATGAGGAGGGCCCTAAGTGGAAATTTTTGCAATACTCAAGGTGAAAGGAGCTTCTGTTCTCACATTCAAGCTCGAGCAATCTACACGTATACTGATGGCCTTTTGAAACTTCGCCACAGAAGATTGACTTACTCTGCTCAAGGTTCACAGCATCTTGTAAAGTCAAGACAAGAAATGCAAGAAAATGGAAAGAGTATTCAATCATATCAGCTTGATGGGCCGAACTTCTCTATGTTGTTTTTTTCTCGCGAGAACAGACAAGAAAATGTACTCGACTCGACGGGGAGTCATGGGCTTGAACAAAACCTGAACCTGAACACTCTTGCCAGAAGAAAGGTATTTTCGAGCAGAACTAAAATACGCAGGTTCTTTGCCAAACAAGGATGGGACAGATCACGCAACCAAAAGGTGGGAATGAAGTATTTTATGCTGCGCCTTTGCCCTCTCGACTGATGAGTGCAAAGTTATCTCGCAACATGATGTTAGTGTTTTCGTATAATGAAACCAGGAACATACTTTTCTATTGTCCCACCTTCCAGAACGTTTCCTGGAGCGTTTTAGTTACAAAATTATGGCAGCAGCCAACAATTTTTTGCGCTTCGCTGTCGCCATTTTGTTTGTTTACATTGGTTCGCGCGAGTTTCGCGCAATTTTTAAACGTCACCCGATGGAACCTGGGATCAAGGCTGAAGTGCCACATAGTCGCGATCGGCGAAAAAAATCGCCAAGTGTGCCCGCAGCGATCAAATTCACCGTGATTGTCGTATAAAATCGCAAGGTGTGTCGCTGGCCTAAATTGTTATGAATTTAAACAAATACATGTCTCAGTTTGTAAATCGAAGCTTAAACTCTTGGAGCGAGAAATCAAGTTTAGAATATTTAAATGAAAGCTGTCCGCAATCACTTGCGTTGCTCTGTTCCTGATGAACAAAACACTTGAACAGACTGTAGACAACTTTTTTCCTTGTCCATGAGCTAGAACTCAAACTCACTTCTTGTATCTCATAGTCTTGAACGATTTTGGATTGGAAATAACTGTATTCTTGTTCTCTAACACAAAAGGTTGCTTTTAATTAGTGCAAGTTGACAAGTGATGAATAATGTTTGAAAAAAACATATCATGGAAGCCCATGGCTCCTTCTGTCAACTATTTAACACAGTGTAATTGTAACATACAATGAGGATGAATAATATAACAGCCATCTTTCAGATTAATATCACCTAAATTTGTATTTTTTTAGACATAATTAGGCTTAAACCAAAAACAATATAGAAGTATATTATTCTACTGAGGTTTCAATCAGTCCTCCAGGTTTACTGTTATTCTTTATATGAAAGGAAAAAACTAATCTCTGTCCTTTTCAAATTTCACTCTGGATCAGCGAGCACTTGTGCAACCTTGCACTTTGTTCAGCTTAAAGCTTACTCATGAATTATCAGTAAGCCCTAATATAATGGTTGTGACTAACATGCCAGACTTTTGTTATTTAGCAGTGTCCCCATCAAAACAATGAGCAAAGTCTGAATGGAAAATTCAGAAAACTGACCTCCCATTTTGTTTCAAAGTGGATAATTATTAAACGTTATAAAAATCAATAAAAATTAACAAAAGGCAACAGAATGCATGAAATGCAGGCTGGAATTGGCAAGTAAGGTACTTATGGTGGCTGGTATCTTCTTATTATATTTGAGACTCAACCTCATCCATGACGAACAGAAAGAGTACAATGTAGGAAACATTGCTTCTTACAATGTTAGTCTAGCTGTTATGTAAACTGTATCATCATTTTCCTTCTTTTTGTAGTTAATCTTGGCCAAAAGTGTTGTGATTCCCACCTAACTACCAGTCAAACCAGTCAAATACTCCTGATCTGAGGAAACAGAATTGAGAATGCCTGGATATCATTTGGCAAGTCTAGACAGGAACATTATCGACCCTAAGTACTTCTGCAGCTCTTGTGCGTTACTGCTGAGAGAGGTCATGCAGACATCATGTGGACATTTCTATTGCCAGTCTTGCTTACCAAGTCTTATTAGGTAAGTTTTAATTACATGCTTGAATATCAGTTGGTTTATGTAGTGCATAAAGTTGCAAGTACTCTGTTATGTACATCTCCTACTGGTTAAAATATTGTCAAGTCCCTGGGGATGTTTTCTTTATTTTTATTTATTATATAATAACTCTTTATCATATAAACTGCGGCGTCATATAAGGATTTCCAGCCCTAAGAAAAGCCGTAACAACGCATGTGAAAAAATACGAAATTTTTTCACCTGTGTTTGATATCGCCAATCAGCTGCTCACATGTCACTCGCCTTTCGTGCCACTTGGTCACGTTGATGTACGAACGACAAAGCCTTCACTTTTGTTTGTCGGAATTTCCTCGCAATATGGCAGCTAAAACGCTGAAAAATCCATATTGCTTGCAGACAGTGACATTCAAACTTTCCTAGAAGGGGAAGAAAACCAAAGTACAAAAAGAAAAATGGAAAGTTACGTATTCAGTGGCTTTGGTAATAGTATTCCTTGCGGTTGAGAGCGAAAATCGACCAGTGTAAGAATTGCCATAGCTCCATTTTGGCTGTGTACCTGAAATGTTTCTTTTGTATATTGAAAATTACGCCTATTGTTGTTTTTGTAATGATTCAAGGCATTTTTTCATATGAAGTCTTAGGGCCAACTCTCTTTACAATTTTTTTTCGGGGATTCTCAATCCTTTTATCTTCATTCGTTAATTAAGTTGACTTTTCCTGTCAGTAAAGGGCTATTGTATTTATATGATAAATAAAATAATACATGGTTGCTTAAAGATATGGAATTTCTCTTCTCGTGCTCAACTCGACATCTCACTCGTTCGTCACACTCACTTTTGAGCTTTCGAGTTAAACACTCGAAGAGAAATTCCATATCTACGCGCGCTCACGTATTATTCTCTATATCCTAGCATAGTGAGCGGTATGTTGCTTGCACCAATCAAGTTACTGCATTATGTATTTTGTATGTATTTTGCACCATCAGATTGCTGCATAAGGGTACGTATCTCGCACCAATCAGATCAGGTACGGCGGTAAGCATAGTCTTAACCTGTGAGTAGGCCGTTGTTTGGTCTTGTCATGCAATGGTGGGAGAGTGTGTTGAATGATGAGACCAAACAATGGGTATGAAGGACACTATAGAAAGCGTGGCACTAGTGCAGTTTATTTTTGTTACCAATTATTCAGACACCAGTGTCAATACCATAAAATGTGTGTCTGAGTTTATCTCAGATAAATTGGGATGGTTTTTTAATCTCCATTAAACAATATTGTCATTGGAATCATTTTGAAAGTATATACCCTTTTACAAAAATGCAAACATCATTCAATTAGCGTCCCTTCCCAAACCATCCAACCAAAAAAATTACTCCTGTTCACATAGCATGCCTATGTTTCTTTAAAGGGATGTACCACAGACTCCAACTTTTTAGGGTAGAGCTTTTAAGAACACTTTTTAAGACTGCAGTTGTAGAAAACAGGCATGAAAATTGTCATCAGGGGTTTTCCAGAAAACTGAGTTGAAGTCATATTTATAGTTATCAACTTATGTGGTTGTTTGCCTTTTCTGTCCAATTGCAAAATGAATGAGAGTGGAGAGGGAGTGTTGCTGTTCCCCTAGGTATATATATCCAGAAATTAAGAGGAATGATTTTGGCCATGGTGGTATTCTTTATGTGAAGTATGTTACAGGGTGGCATGAAACTTTGTTGAAACTTGTAGAAAAGAGCCAATCCTGTGATTTGAATACGCTCTATAAACTGTGTAAACTTATGAAAGGATACTCATGGAAGAATTGTTCAAAGGATAACTTATCAAGGTGACCAATTTTAAACTGGCACTGGTTTTTCTTTCTTTCTTTTTATTTTTCAACTCTTTATATTCAAACTCGCTTTGTTTCTTTGTTGGTTTGAAGGGATTTTGCTTTGAATTCTTTTTTGGAAGGTAGGGGATGACACTTGGAAAAAAAAAACCCTGATAGAGGATCAGGTTTTTAAGTTCCTCACCATTGTTTCTTTCGAATGGCAAGTACATTCGGGGAATCATACCCTATTATGGGTCAAGTTTGAGCCCAAATCAAGTTCAAGTCACTGGTCGAATTAAAGTCAACTCAAATTTTTTCCTCTTCATAAAATAGTACTATTTGAAAAACTTGTTGTTGTAGTAGTCAAAGAAGAAAAACAAAAAAGTAAAAAAATGAGACAAAGTTCATTTAATGAGGTTAGTTGTTTTACTTTACTTGAAACAACTTATTTTGTCTGTTTCAACACAGCCACACAAACTTGTGTATTATAAATAATTGTTACTAAAATAAAATGCTCTTACCTTGTTATAGAATTGTTATGAAGAAACAAAATGTTTTAAAGGCTATTGTTGTCCTGCTGTGATCTGATTGGTGTGAGATACATACCTTAATGGGCAATCTGATTGGTGTGAGATACATACCTTAATGCAGCGATCTAATTAGTGAGAGATACATTCCCTAATGCAGCGATCTGATCAGTATGAGCAATATACCACTTGAAAGGCTGACATTGTGTTTCTGTTGAAATGATATCACAAATAATCCTGTTAATAGGGATGTGACATCTGGTTTAATGAAGTGCTTGGTGGACAAGGATAATCTTCATCAAGTTGAGGTATGTCAGTTACTGAAGAAACACGAGAAATTTTTATGCCAAATAGACACTGTCTAAAATAAAATGTTTTTAAAAGAAGGGACATACAATACCTCTTGCATTAGAAACAATCCTTTAGTATCTCCCAGGTTGGCTACCTTTTGTTTTGGATTTTTTGCACAGTTAGCTTCAGACACAAATATAATACGGTAAAGGCTAAGCTGTTTGTAAACCTTTTGTCCCTCTTGTTCAAAATATATAAAGGTAACAAACACGGTGGCCTCCACTGGGCACAAAAATATGCTTGTATATTTGTCTTTGGCAGGGCGTGAAATTGTGCCTAATACAGGCGCCAATGCGACTAAATTTTTCACTTTGGCGACCAAATCCTGAAAATTAGTCGCCAAATTGGCGACTTGATTTTTTCATCATAACCTTACCAAGAGATGTGGTGAATTTTAAAATATTTTCAAAGATAAATCTGCGGCAAACTTCCTCACTGAGTTTGTTTCCGAAACGCAGAAGATGCGTCTCGATCAATATCTAGACGCCACTTGGATTTAGGTGAGCTTGAACGTTGTATATCATCCATTCTAGTGTCCACTTTGTAGCACGTTTAAGATCTTTTCCCTACCTTAATTTTGGAGGTTCTCTCTAGAACGCTGACAGCGTAAAAAAAGATTTTGTTTGTCTTTGAAAATGAGGACCAACTTTTTTTGAATTGGCCACCACTTTGAAGAATTTAGGAGCCAAGTGGCTATTAGAAAAAAAATTTAATTTCACGCCCTGTTTGGACATTACCTGCTCTTTGAATTGAGGCCCATAACTGTATACTTCACGAAACAAATTATCTCCTTGGACAAATATTCTGGAAATTTTCATGCCAAATGGTAAAAACTGTTGTCTTAGGTGCTCAAGTCAAGTAGCTCTTCCAGCTGGAGCTGCAACCCCCCTTGATGGGATTCGAGCCTCTCCTGGTTACCCCCAGACATTTCATCAGGTTTTTCTGAAAATTCAGACACAGATATAAATATATAGAGGTGAAGAGAGGCACTGCGCGAGTTAAGTGTCTTGCCCAGGAACACGAAACAACGACTTGACGGACCTCTCGACCCAGAGTCCAGTGTGTTTGGCATCTCCACACATGCCCAAACGAGGCGATCGTTTATGTAAAGAGGCAGAAGCACACAACCTTAGGGATTTGCTTCTGATGAGATAATTGATTTGTACACGAGGTGTACTACTTTCTTATAATGTTTGCAAGCTGTATTTTGCATTGTATGCACATGAGATTTTTTCACTATTTATCACGTGTTAAAAGGAGGATATGAAATGTTAAATTGATTAATTTGATATTTATTCCCTTGTGATGTATTTTAGATTTTTCCAGATAGGTTTATGCGTCGTGAAGTACTTTCTCTTGTGGTTCACTGCACATTCATGGAGGACGGGTGTAATTGGATGGGAGAAGTGAGGTATTTAGAGGTACGTCTGATATGGAAGATTCCGTGATAATCAATTAACAATTTGTTCATACTTAAGCATGGGTTCATCGTGATATGAAGCAGGCAGGATATTTGGAAAGTACGAAAGACACGTAAGAGTTGCTCAAGTCGCAACCAAGAGCAATTGTACTTTCTTGAATAACGGCTTTATGAAGGACTAAGCAGATTTGAGATTTTTTTCATGACACTTTTTTTCGGGGACTAACGACATAACATATTTTCTTACAATGAAACACCAGGGAATTAAAACTCCCTGGTGTTGCTTAATTTAAACCATCAAAGCAATCTTGCATTTTCTATTTCTTTTTGTTGTTCTTTTGAGTGTATAACCCTTTACACCCTTATATCTGTACACATACTTCATACTGTCCTCTTTACATTTCTATTGGACCTGACCTGGAGAATTTGTTCCGTAATCAAGAACTTTCGTGGCCGGATATCATTTTCTTTTTCCTTGAGCTTCCCCAACCAACTGTCGGCAGATTGTCGATAAGGTGTTAGCGACAGGTTACCGACAAGCTACCAACTGGCTGTGGCAACCGACCAATTCAACGATTAATAGCCAATTGTCGGCCGACAAATAACCAACAGCTTTTTGGGAAAGCTCCTCTTAAAATTTTCAATTGTCTGATTCAGCGATGATTCTGTGAGTAGAAACCATACGCTGGCCACTCTTGGGGATTAAAGGAGGTCTATAGCGACAAGATGATATCGATTAATTTTTGTCACTCTTGGCATTCCTGCATAAATCACAGATCCTTCCAAGGGTCCCAGACAGTCTTTCTTTGGTTGCCATGACCTCGTGTATGTTGTCACAAGTCACAATTTCACCGGAAATAATCTTTTCTCATCCTAAATAAAAATAAAGAATGAAAAATATCAGACATGACCTCTTTATAAAGTTTTATTAAATAACCAAAGAAAGTCTACTAACGCGTGGGAGATGTGTAGTGTCGTAGTGACCCCGCACCCGGACTTTTATCATAAAAATACTATGCAATGTAATTATTATTTTTTTTTTACAAATTAGCCAACATGTCCACTGTGGCCATGTATTTTTGAGTAAGTTCTTTGACTTCTTGGTCGCTTCTTCTCACGAGGTAGAACAATGTAAGACGTTGTAGGTCACTTCACCTTACACGATTACGTCGTAACGATCACAAAGTAGGTCAGATGTTGAAATGGTTGATAAAAAAAGAAACGAAGGCTGGATAGTATCAGAAGCTGCCTTATAATTTTACAAATTATTTTCATTAGGGCTAAATTTCTTGTTACCTACCTTACAACAATTTGGTAATAAAAGGAATTTTGTGATAATTGCTTTCAACAGGACCATAAGCAGACGGATTGCAAGTATTTGGAAGTCCTCTGTGTGCATGCTACATGTAGCATGCGGGTTAAAAAAAGTGAACTTGCTGATCACTTTATTAAGGAATGCAGAGTCAGACTACAGCAATGCCAATTTTGTGATGAATCTGTCGCTTACTGCGAAATGAAGGTATGTATGCCATTGACTGAGACACATCACATACTTTAAAGCGCAGTGGTTGCCACTCATATACTGTGGCATATTAGCTCTGAGAAAGACAGATGATTGTACAAAATTAACGATCTTTAAGGTAGAAAGGTTTCACCTTAAATGCAAGTGCCTCCATCTCTAGAAAAAAAATATACCCGAATTAAGATAGTCAGAACTTCCTGTAAAGCGAGGCGAACACTATTTTTGAGCAGTATACTTTTTATGTATCTCAGTGAAATTTAACTTTTTTACCATGGAAAGTTAAGATTGATCAAGTGCATTCTCACCTAACTTAGTAGCCTGTGTAACTTGGAACAGGTAAGCTAAACACTCTTTCTCTTATTTCTTGCTGTTGTAATCAGGAACACCTTCGGTCGAATCACAACTATCTCCACCGCCAGATGGACAACCTGGGGATTGAAGTAGATGGCTTGCTTCAGTTAGTATACCTCCTACAAGATGGGCATCGCCATCTCCAGAATGAACAACGTAGATTACACGAAGAAGTTCAACAACTGCATGCGAACCTCCGCGTATTGGAGCAAGGCATTCAACAGCAAAGAGAAGATGATGTAAAGAATGCTTTGTGTGTGATGAAAGATATTCTTGAAGATATGGCCAGGTCACGTGATGAACAAGGTGCTGAAGCTAACCCCCCACGCAACAGTAAAAGAATGATCAAAGCCCTAGAGGAAGCTCTGGAGGTTAGAAATGCAAACCCAGCTGAGTCAGACCTATATGCAAGGCAGCAAGGGCTTTCAAGCGACGATGGTTAGCTGCTGGCACATAAAACAAGACGTGTGCACGCAACATGCCAAGAGTATAATGCCCAGGAGAGAACGGCTTTGGGAAATCCGTCAGGTGCAAGTCCTTTCTCCGAAACACCTAGTGAGTCCAATGGTAGTGCTCAGAACCTTGCTTTGGTACAACGGGTTGTCAGTCTTGAAAAGAGAGATGCTGACATGAAAATGGAACTTGGTACCACCCAGGAGAGCTTCAGGAGGCATGACCGAAGAATTGAATCTATTGAGCACACGCTGGCACTTAGAAATATAACCGTGGCTGATGTGGAGGGATACGTAAGACAGCAAGAGTTCTCAAGCTACGATGGCCGACTGGTGTGGAAGATTTCTGATTATGCTTGCAAACGACGGGTCAGCAAGTTTCTCTCTATAGCCCTTGTTTCTACACCAGTCGCTACGGCTACAAAATGTGCGCCCGCATTTACCTGAATGGGGATGGAATGGGAAAGGGAACGCACGTCTCGATCTTCTTTGTGGTCATGCGCAGTCAGTATGACGCGCTGCTCCGCTGGCCATTCAGACAGAAGGTCACCTTCATGTTGCTGGATCAGGATAACGTGGAACACGTGATTGACGCCTTCAGACCTGATCCGAACAGCTCATCCTTTCAGAGGCTAAGAAGAGAAACAAACATCGCCAGTGGGTTTCCGATGTTCTGCTCGCTTGCTGAGCTGAATAATCACGCACATGTCAGGGACGACACCATGTTTATAAAGGTCATTGTAGATACGGATGATCTGTAAACAATATTAGACCAGTGGGAAAATATTTTTAGTTTGGGGTTGCCTTAAAATAGTATCGGGATCAAAATGGACACGAGCGATCAGGGACCAATTTAGACGGGCTTTTTTTTTTGATGATAGACAGCATTCACTCAGATTTTGCAGCTCCGATGCCGCAGTAATTTCAAGGGTTAATTTCGAACAAAAATGATTAACTCTCGAGAGCAACTAGCACAAAGTAATATTTGATAATATCATGAGCGGTTAGTATGATGCATTAATCCACTGGCCATCCAGGATGAGGGTAGCTGTAGTTAACGTACTCGGTAGGAAGCATCTTCAATATTTTATTGATTTCATTACCTCTACCCGTATAGACATACAGATAACGCCCACTTGAAAGAATTCTACTCCCTTGTCAAGAAATAATGGAGCCCAACAAATTGTTGATCATAAAACTGTGTCGATCTTACAAAGGATTCAGTCCAGTTTATACTAAACGTTTTGCGAACGTAACTTTCATCATTTTGGATGAAAATCATCTTGAGAGGAAAAAAATAGTGGAATTTAAGGTTGAATAAGAATGATTTCAGAGGTAAACCCTAACTGAAACGGTCGTGTATTACGATGTAGTATAGCGTTTTAAAGTGGTATAGTAATAAAAATAGATAGAAAAATCTTAAAAAAGGACGTTGAACATGATCATATTTTTATTGTAGTTTGCCCTTACGTGCCCTATAGGGGGGGTTTACCAGATACACTGGTTTTATGAGTGTGTTGCTACGATTGTAGTGAAATTTCTGCGAACAACACTTGTCAAGAAACGGTTATTTTGGATAAAATCTTCTGTTGAAAGCAAAGCCTGACGAAAGGTCCATTGTTATCGCAATCTTTTATAGTTAAATTATTATTTACTTTTAAACAAGGTGTTGTAAATTACATCATTATTTCGCTTAGAAGGTAGAAACACGGTTTAAGACACGGTCCAAATATTAGCCGAGCAAAGAAAAGAAATAAAAGTTTTATTTGTTACACACTTTATATGATATTTCTCTCATTCGCAGAAGCACTTAAAATGGATGATGAATTTTTCCAGGACAGCTTAGGCTGGATCGGCGGATAATGTTTGATTTGAAGCCCAACTCAAATTCTGTTATTTTCCGTTTTAGACACCGGCACAGCGCTTCGTTTGTGGCAACCTTTGCTGCAGGCATCACTTTAATTCCTCTGATTCATTAATGGCGCATTCATTACCAGAATTAATGGCCGGTATTCTGTAACTAGATTATCTGTCAAGGCGGCCAGGATATTTGAAACATGGTATGATCCGCGACTAATGACATCTTGTACTAACAAACCTGTAATCGACCGCGCAAACGTCAAACAAGAGATGCAGTGAAGCGGGTGTGGCCTATGTTTGCTTGCTGGTATACTGAATCGTTTTCTGACAGCCTATCTCCACTTAGAAATAACAACTCTTTAATCCTTCAAAAATGTTGGAGTTGGAAGACTACTCGCAATTCTTAAGACGTGTAATATCTCGTCCAGGAATTGGAGAGAAACAGTTTCAAACTCACGATTAGGATTCCCCTTCCGGTAGGTTTGATTCTTCTGCCAGACCGTTGACTCCAAATTTGAAGAATAAAATTCGTTGGCCCCTTACTCCGATGCAAAGACTTTTAAGTTAGCCGTCATATACGATTCTGGGTCAGAGGGCTGTATCCGACTTAGGAATTGTGCTCATGTCTTTTTTTTACACTACATGATCCTTGTAAGTTTTTCTCTGACATCTAACAATAAAAAAAAATTGTGCAGTTATTCTTAGCAAAGACAATTTTTTAGGTAAAGTTTAAGACAAATTCGTATAATGCAAGCAACTTTTATATATAGCAAACTTTGGAAACCTTAGCACATAGCGTTTGGGAGGTATTCACACCTGTCTGCTGTGATTACGGCATGGGCTGTTTATCATATTATCAAGCTTGTTATGGAAAGCTTATGACAATTTTCTGATGAGCGAAATCCTTGGTACTACACACCAAAAAGTTATTCGACTGCTCTGAATAGTTATCTCGTTGCGTGACGATAATTTTTTTGGGGCATGACATCATAGCCATTATCGATGCATTGTGGGACATGGGGGAGCCCCAACTTTCATGAGTAGGAAATATTGAGTCCTCATTATTTTAAACAACAACGTAATTTCCCTTTATTCACTTTTAGGCTTTCAAGGGAACAACTATATTTTGGAGTATTGTCGAGAGAAGTTTGTCTGGTCCTAGTGAAACTCTCGTGTATGCCCACGACGTTGACAGACGATAGTGTGAGTTGTTCCCGGCCGGTGAAGTGCAACCAAGTGTAAGTATATTTGATCGTTTGCTGCTGCTCGAGTTTAGCATAATCGTAAATAAGGTCATCATTATATTCAGTATTAGCGGGCAATATGTTTATGTAAACCAATCGCTATCTTCTCAAGAATACCAGTTCTCGTGACAGAACTCACTTTGAGTAGTGATCTGATGTGGCCAACAAATGCAGGAATAAGGAAGTCACGTCATGAATGCTTAACGGAACTTAACATTAGTAAACGCATATTGCGTAACGTTTGCAAAAATTCATCTTCGATTAGATTACTTCCATCACCTCAATACAATCTATATATTTACTTTGGAATCAATACATCAGATCAAGAGCGATCGATGCATGAGAAGGCGGAAAAGATTACGTTCAAAAGTTTAAAAAACACACAAAAAACGGCAAATTTAATTTAATATCACAATAAAGAACTGTCGAAAATTTAGGAAACATTCTAAAATAATAAATCGCCAGAATAATGAATTGGTAGCGAGACAAACGAATACAACACTCCAAACCGTTTTCCTCGAAAAGCATTTCTCGGTAATTCAAACACCATTTGTATTGGAACTTCCGTTTCTCGCATTGTTTTGCGTATCTCTAGACAGTTTGGAAGATAGCATTCTCCTTTAGAATTTGAATGAAAAAATTAATTCATTTACAACAGATGTAAGACTGACGGCTTGGCGTAATCTTCATCATTCTGATCATTTTATTTAATGCAATATATTGGGATGACTTCGAGCAACGTGTCCTACTCAGACAACCTAGAAATAATATTACAAACTAATTCATATCTAATTTCCAAAATCTCTGTTTTGTATGTATTCATTCTTGATACCTGGTTTAGGCTGTCAGTAAAAAGGACTTTGTCGATCAAAAACTTGATTTGCGCTCCAGATGTGTCGGTCTATTTAGCTGTAATTTTTTTAACAATGCACAGTTTTTCTAAGAAATGAATACTGGAATGCCAAGAAACGAACACCATAACGTTGTCTGCCATTTTCGCTCGATTATACTAAGGTAGTTACCTCTGAAAGTGCAACTTTCCAAAACAATGCATCATAAGACCATAATTTATCACTCCTCAGCAGTTTTAGTAATGCAACTTTATGCAAACTTTTAAAATATTTCTTATGAAACTAAAATAAAAAATAGGACATGATACATTCAAATGACACACATTATTTTGTTAACAGTATTAACAGTATCCATATGTGATTTAGTTTTAACTCAAACCCTTTCTTTTTTCAAAGATAGTGTTTGTCTTTAAGAATTTAAAGATATCTGAAATATTATAAGCCCCTCTTAAATACATGAGATAAAAATTTTTTTGAAAACTTTGATATCTATAATTAATTGGTAACAGGGCTTCATGACTGTATGACTTGTGATTGACAAATCAGACTACTGTTTTGCAGTTGTCCAAAATATTTAATCACTTGTATGATTGCAGACAGAGTTTGACTCCTGACTTAGGGACCTGTCATTGAATAATTATATAGAGGAGGGGAGGGAAAAAAGAAGGGGGGAGCAAGGCTATTTCAGATTGGTTAGAAGGGGGACTAAACTTTTTATAAAGAAGTTAAGGATGTGCAGCAGTTTGTGGTACATTTTAAGAGTGGTCCAATTTGCCCAAGGTGGGTAAAACAGTAAAAAAGGAGAGAGCAAACAATATAAGTGAGACAGTTCCATTTTTATGCAAAGTAATCATCTTACTGACTATATGTGACATGACTTTTAATAATTACTAGCTGTGTAAGAGGAGATATGAGGTGACAGGGGGTCACAACCTAAATATTAGGGGGCTCTATTTACATGGCCTATAGGGGGAGGGAGCTTACAGAAATTTTGATCTTTCCAGCATTTGTTTCCTAAAATTAATAATGACCTGTCCCTTAACTAGTCATTAACAAACTTGCTCAGCTATATAGGACAGTGCCAGGGTTAATTCTGCAGTGAATAATCCAGCAAACTACCTACAATTAAAACTCTGTAAGAAAAATAAGCAAGGGTAACTTTAATGTGGGTAGATCTTTATGATAGTTAATGATTTTTTTTTCAGTTCATTTTTACATAATTTATAAGGTATAACCTTGCAGATGAGAAGAATTTGTAGCTTTAATTGGAATCCATTGTTTGTAGTACATTGTGCTGTACCATTACAAAATAATATGGTTATTAAACAACTTTTATTTGTACATGGTTTGTCAAAAAATAAAGTAATAGCAAAAGTAACACTTGTTAACAATAGAAAAGGTCTTCTCTTACTAATGATTCCTATTAGGCTCCTTAATTTTCCCTAAACCTGACTATTAGAGTGGCTGCAATGATTTGCCATTGCAACTTATTCAGAATTAATTTTAACTCTGATTGAACAGGGTAATCAGGGATTTGCTTCAGCATTTAGACCCAATTGTACGAGTATGGTTCATACTCTCTGAGATTCTTTGATAAAAGTCAATGGGGAAGGTGTAAGGACATTACAACTATATCTGAGCTTGGAGCCCAGGGTTGAGAAGAAAGACTACTTTGATGCAATAAATATTTATTTTGTCTTTTTATCTCATGAATGCTACATCTGATTTCAATCTTTCATCCTAAAGAAATTTGAGAGATGTTTTGTTTCCCTATAGGGACCCCCAAGATATTTTTGATCTGGCCTCTTTGCTCTGCACCTCCATGAGATATTAAATCTCTTTACATAATGGAAGAAACTAGTGCTTTGACTTCACGTTTCACAAGAGAGGAATCTTTTGAGGAAAAGAAGGTGAGAGTTGGCATTTCTGATCTAAATGTCTACCAGAAGGCTAATATAATCCCTCTAATGTTGGTTGTGAGCAACTGCATGGCCAATTTAGGATTTGTGAAGCATCTTTCAAAATCTGTTCACTCCTTTATTTGCCAAGCTCAGCGCAGTGTCTAGTTTCCAGGCCTCCTCTGATCCTAGCAACCTAACAAAGTTAATAACCAAATTGAATGATATCAGATTAACTTGTCAAATCTCACAAAACCTTACCAGATACCACTTAACTAACAAATTCAGCCAAGTTGACCCAGATTACCAACCTTAAATTACCTGAACTTCATCATCACTATTACATTTATCAACTTTCCCCAAACCTGTGCATCATCATGTGATGGTTATTATAATGTTGCCGACAGTGGCACCCATGTAACCTGACCAACTGTTCATGAACCATATCTACCTGGCAACTTTAGAACCTGTCATCAACTATTGACAATAGACTCTACCAACTTCACCTTCACCTCACAAAACCTTCACCCTTAAATCAATTTCACCCATCCCAGGAACAACATCAACCTCACAGAAATCACTATGACCAAAGTCACTGTGTTACTGTAAATTCCTGTGATATGAATAAAATGAATAAATAAATGTTGGTCGTGTGTTAATTTTCTATAAATTTATAACAAGATCGACAAAGTGTGAATTCTGGGTGAAGACTTGACCGACTCTTTTCTTTTGTAGGGCCTGGCGGAAGAAAAATGCACCGGACAAGATGACAACAATGACATGGTAACTGCCGATTCTAACAACGAAGAGGTGTGAAAAAGTATCATATGTTTTAATCAATCAATCAGTGAAGGGAGGTCTTTATTTACGGTTTTTAATGTATCGATCAATTCGAAGTTTAATATCCCTTTCCCAGGCATTTGAACTTTTGAAAATCCCCCCCTCGGGGCAAAATTGTGTTTAAATGCCCGACCCAATTTTTTTGCAAAACTGACCAAGCATAAAGCCTAGACCTTGCAGACCCTTTTTTAGCCATTCGCACGCGAAAGTAAATTATTTACCCTTGGCATCTCCATATTTAAAGATAGAGCACTTGTATTCCGCTGGAAAGACTGGACACTACCGGTTCTGATTCTCTTTAATTCCCCATTCCCAGCCAACAAGCAAGGTTCAAATGGTCGTCACTGGGTTGCCCGTGGGTGGGGTGGGGGGGAAGGGAAGGGGGAAGGGGAAGGGGAAGGGGAAGGGGGGAAGGCGGCTTCGAAACTATCGACGCTTGCAGACGTGAAAACTTTCTTAAGTCTTTTCATGAATAACACTAGAAAACACTAAAACACTAGAAAATATGAAATATATATTTAGAAATTCAAAGAGACCCAAAAGATTTCTTTTCACAAAGTATTTCTGTGAAGACTACAACAAAAGAAACGGCTGTACTGGAGTGATTACATCAGGAGAGAATTTTGTCTGTGTGCTTTTTAGCAGTGACGGAATTTTAAAATAATGTGACATTCTAAGATTTTTTTGAATCCAAACACGAGTTAGCGCTGGCGTGACACGGATTTTTGTTGTTATTGTTGTTGGTGGTTTTTTTGGTTTGGTTAATTGTTCGTAGAAACGATGGTGTCATTTTTGCCAAAAAGAGTGCCAAACCCAGTTCAAACTTATTAGATGTGGCGTAAACTTTCCAACTGATTTAGTTCAATACTTCAAATCTTTTTCGTCAGGTCTGATTCACTGTTAAAAACACGAACACACACCTTCCCTTTTGAACGACGCAAGCCATTTATGTAATTTTTAAATTGTAGGAAACTAAGGACGACAACTTAAGATCTCTTAAAAACAGTCATCTTGAGGGGATAAGTCTACAGACAGGACCAATTGAGGATGAGAAGGGTTTTGATCAACGTGAAAATGCATCGAAACAATTTAATGAGGTAAATATTGATGACGCTTTTATCCAGGTGCCCTGCTATCCTTGTGCCTGGTTCTAATGATATTATGTACGTAGGAAAGAACTGATTACGATTGGCTATTTGTTCTCACTTATGTTAGATTCATTTACCCGCAGAGGCTAACAGCCCACTTGATTAAAATGTCTTCAAAACATCGCCGGACACATTTCAGTATTTCGTAACTGTTGCACCCAGCTAAGTTTATTTTTACCAACATTTAATACTGCAAACTCTGATTTGATCCTTTACACTCCAACATCATCATGCATATTCTCTATACTGTTTTCTTGATATTTCCTAGGTTCTAGCTGTCAACCGCTTACAAACAGCACTTGGCTTAAGAAAAGGAACAGAAAAAGAGGAAGTCAAAATTAAGAGCACGCCCTCTAGTGTAGTTGCCTCTTCAAAAACCGAAGTGGTCGCTGACACAAGTTCTTCTGAGATTCCAACCCGGTTCGAAAGTGATAGTCTTGAGGGAAGGTACATTATGAAGCTTGAAAGAAGATTAGCGTACCTTGAAAACTTGATACCTCAGTGCCACATACGTCATGAAGAAGATGCAATATTCAAGCAAAAGTTGCAGGAGAAAATCCACAAGCTCGAATTGCAACTAGAGGAAGAAGAAATCTTCAAACAAAAATTGCAGAAGGAGATAGATCAGCTTGCATCACATCTACAAGAAAGGGATCATTACAGACAGAACGATCAGAAGACCACTAGGCAAGGTGGAAAAATAGCCCAACTTCGGAAGACGCCAGAAAACGAAATGACCCAGTGCCACTCACAGTTGAAAGGTATGGGTGAAATTAAGGCGGTGGACGAGGATCATTTGCAGGACCACGCGCAGTTAAAAGAAGCAGATAGCGGTGGCGAGAAAACGGAGAAGAAGGTGGCCAAGGACAGTTATTCATATTCGAAAGAATCGTGTTGTAGTAAAGAGAGGGTGGAGGTAACGGCTGCCGAGCTCCAGCAGGTAAAAGAAGTGCATCGTCCAAAAGAGAACATAGACGCAGAGAGAAAAACCGATAGACGTTTTGAGACAATAGAGAGGAAGGTAGGCGAGCTCGCTTTACAGTTGGATGAGCTGAATTTTCGTCAAGAGGAGAGAGAGAAGACAATGGCCCAGCTCCATTCAAAGGTAAAAGAAAAAGATTATCCAAAGGAGAACATAGAGCGAGAAATGCAAAGCGCAAAGGAACTGTTAAAAGAAATTGATAAACGTGTTGAGGGAAACGAGATGAAGGTGGCCGAATACGCTTTACAGTTGGATAAGATGAGTTCTCGTATGGAGGAGATAGAGAAAACTAATGCCCAGTTCCATTCACAGATGTTAAAAGAAACGAATCATCAACTGGAGAAGATGGAGAAGGAAAAGGATTTAAAAGAGCTGATGAAAGGAATTTGTCAACGCACCGAGAAAGTTGAAAAGAAACAGGCCGGCCAAGGTTCCCGACTGAAACACATGGGCTCTCGCGAAGAGCGGATGGAGACGGCAATTGATCAGTTCCATTTGAAGTTGGAAGAATTGCGAAGATTCCTGGAGGAAAAAATGAAGAATGAAATGCGAGATGTAGTTGATGAAGTCAAGAACCAACGCGTAGTCCTCTCCACTCATGAAGAAAATATATTGCTTCTTCGCCGTGCTCTTGGTGACCTAAATCAAATGTTTCAACGTGGTTTGAACCATTTGAAAAGGCGAGTTGATACCTTTCTCGTGAGTAATGGTCCAGCAGTACCCGATGGGCTTGGATAAGTCCATCTTGTAATGTGTTAGCATACCTGCCCAGAGAGTACGCGTGATCACACTTTTCTGCTCAAGAACCCTAAAATTTTGCTCGGTAGTTGAAGAAAGCCTGAGATTTACCTCAATAAGACTCTCAAAATTTTTCACAGGATATGCTTCAGGAATTATTAGCCACATTTGTTTTGTATTGGGAAATCAGTTGTTCTTATAGCTGTCATGTATAACATTACATATAATGATTTTCTGTTACTCTGCTTAGGTCACGCTCGAAAATCTTTAATTCTTTGAGTTAATCTAGGTCAAGCACAGTTTGCCTGTGGTATTTCATCTTTGTGGACTCTTTACTGTTCTGACGATTGGCACGCATACGTTCCTTGTTTGGTAATGAACATGTTTAATTGCGGTTGTTGGCCTAGTGCCTTTTGTGTGTATATCAGTGGGCCAAAACTTTCCTAGAGTGAATATATACTTGTATTCTATGTGAAAAACAACAAGGTAAATTTTTTCCTTAAAAAAAAAAAAAAATAGTTAGTCACCGATTAATTGCCCAACATATGGATAGGGCAAAGACTGATCTTCAACCAAAAAAATCTGCAGCAATATTTTGTAGTCTTTTTGATTTTGTTAAGTACAGCTAAGCTAAGTCTGAACAAAGTAGTGTTTTAATGACTAGAACTAGAAAAGTCAACTGTTGGCTGGAAAAAGTTCAATATATTTGGTCAGATTCCTCTGTCTTATATTATAGTTACAACCAGGCTACGCCTGTGTGAAATAGTCTTTTTTCTACCAGTTCTTAGGATTATGTAATGTATTCGCTTTTAGCTTTTGTAGAGCGCAACCAGGCTAACCTTAAATGAAATAGTGTTTCGTACAATGATTTTTACCAATGGTAGCAAATAAGTGACTTTCAAACGTATGTCAGTGTTATAATACGTTTCATTGTCCACCAGCTAGTGTTGAGTTCTTATATGATACTCTCTTTTAATCTGAAAATTAGATTAAGGTCTCGCGGTTTTTATATTCTTAGAATGGTGCGGAAACTAGCTAGCTGGTAATGTGTTCAGGAAACTATACTTTTGAATCTTGAACGAAACGTAGTAAAGTGTATCGTGTATCTTGAACGAGACTTGGTAAAGTGTATCGTACATTTGAAATACTTCCAGTTTTTTGATATCTTGAAGTTTCCAAAGTCTCATTTTGAACTAGCAAACAGTCGGCTGAAGATTTCAGGGTAACGACTACTGCCTTATTTTTACGAAACGGGTCCAATTTGAAACTCGGCACTGATAATTTCAGCGGACACTGATGGAGTGCGTTTCGAATCTTTAATTGATTTCTCGAACAAACTAATCCGCGCTAACATCCTTGTTGGATAATTTAAACATCTGAGAAGCTAAAAAAAGTGCGAGGCAAACACAGTCAATCGCGCTTTGCTTGTTCCCTCGTGTATTTGATTCGATCTCGCAAACAGGAACTGACTTCCTGATGGGTAGATTTTGCTGCATTTGAGCCTACGTATACCTTTGGATGAGCTCATGGGAATTACTAACAAATTCTCTACCGACACGAACACCACAAAATGGTTTTCTATTTGGGACTCTCTTAAGGCAAATGTTGCTCAAACACAAAAACAGATAATTTTACCGTGTTTTAACTCATTCATTCGTGTTAGTGCTGATTGAGGACACGTTGCGAGCAAGGCTCAAAACTGATTTCAGACCAAAAAATTTCATGACCTGAATTTCAGTTACCATTTTATTACATCCATTTTGAACTCGCAAAAGTTGATCACCCAAACACAAGATTTTTGTCAGTACAAATATTCTATTGATCCAGAACTGATAGGATTTATTAAAAAATATAAAGCGGAACCTTTTAAAGAAAAAGAAAAGTTTTGGGGACAAAAGTTGCAAAAATTTGTAACGTTATAGCACCTTTGTTTTTCATTTACATGTTGTTTGATTAGTTACTTAGAACAAGTCCTGGAATGTGATTGGCTAATTTATTTTAGTGTTGCTGTCTCAGTGGCTTGGAAAAAGATTTTGAACCAAAACTAAGGCAATCCATGAATAAATCGCACCGCCAATAAGATTGCAAGGATCACCAGTGCATGGATACAAACTTTATAAACACGAGAGGATAAATTCAAACCCACAAGCGGACATGTAATATGTTGTTTTACATCACGAGTAGAAGGCAAATAAAACTCCAGAAGTACACCACCATTGAGAACTAAAAGAAAAAAAACCGAGTAGTTTAACAATCAACACCAATATTCCGTTTAGAATTTGTAGATTACGCAAGGAAAAAGCAAAGCAAGGAAAAAAAGAACTGCGTTCCGTTCCTTCCGTTAGGGCCGGCACAACAAGTTTCCGGCTCTTTGGCCAAAATTCTCTGAGTTGAGTGAAGATCTCGCTTTCGTTGATGAACAAAACAACCAGCTTTATTTTTTTTTGGCTTTTGCTACGCGTTTCTCGCGTTCTTGCGCGAGGATTAGGAAGTTTCTCGAAAGATCTTGAAATAAAGATAGTGAGTGCGTTTTTCAAATACTTATGACAAAAGTTCTTAGAAATAAGTAAGGAAACGAAAAAAAGTTATAAAGGAACTAATAAAAAAAGACGATAGAGTTTTAGCCTTATTATGACGTGCGTGTCGGCGTTATGTTTTCATGGATAATTTTCTATTTTTATTAGTGAACCACCTTTTTTTTTATCTTGGGAGTTCGAGTTAGTGGGGTTCTTCTGTATACTAAAAGCAATCATTCGCCTCAGTCTCAGTAAATATTTTTAGTTTTGATGATCACTCAACAATATTCAGTGAGCCTAAAGTAAATAATTGTTAATTAACTGTTCGGTGACTTTGCATCATGTGACGTTACGTCGCGCAAAAAGTTAATGAATGGGTTGTTACTCAAACCAAGAAATATCAATCATCATCGCTAGGAAAGAATTTTCATCTTTTTTCTCTTAATTTCTTCCCACCGTCGCCTTTTGAAATATCTGTTATTATTATCCAACTGCAGCAAGCAGAGTACAAATAACGCTCGAATGGAGTACAAATATCCCGCGATATTGTACGGTTATTTGGACAGTTGGTTATTTTGTATTGTAAAATACCTGTTTGAAAGGTTGACCGCACTTGCGTGTGTTTTTCTATCAAGAGAGAAAAAAATGGACGACATTTCCTCAACATACGCATCCGCGGATTGTGACTGTTGACCTCCTTACCACTTTCAACCACAATTTTAAAAAATTCGACAGGCAATGATAGAGAAAGCGTTTCTTCTCCCAAGGCAGATGTATTAAACGATGCTAAGACAGGTGAGTTCATCGAACAAAACAAGAACATAAACACTGCGAAGAAAACGAAGACTGACCTCAAGAGCTTATACGAATGACACAAAAAAGAAAATTATGCAAGAAAAAGTAACAGGTTATTGATTAAAGTAATATTCGTGAAAACAAAAGAAGGGCATGTAAATCCCCAAAAACATACATTTTCTTTTCACATAGATGTTTAGTAAATATATCAAGTATGCCAAAGGTGCTATTCTTTTTTTCTCAAAAGTCCATTTGTAAAAGCCTTTCCAAATTCGAAACACTCGCTTTCTTGAATGGCGCCATCTTTCCTGTGACGTCACGGGTGGACCCTCTAAAGTTCTGTTTTATAACCGCGTGAGATACGTAGAAGTCTTCCCCACAGCCGTTGTTTGCCATTCTCGTTATGATTTTTTTACTTACAGTTTGCTTCAATATATTCAATTTTTCCATAATGGTAAAGCGCTGTGTTGTCTAGTTTCGTACTGATTCAACAAGACTGCGCATACTATGCAAAGATTTCCAGATGACGCAAATTTGCAGGGACAATGGGTTAAATTTGTTCAAGTGAAAATAGCCGATTTCGTCGAGCCGTTCGAATATTCTGTTGTTTGTAGCAGTCATTTTTTTCCCGATTGTTAAGAGAAAAAGCTACATTGTTGAAATGGGCCTTAAAAAGCGGCAACTTATCCCTGGTGCTGAACCGACGATTCAAGCCCTACCAGAAGCAAATTATTCTGAAGTAAAAAACGGACCCATTCAATCTGCAAACGACAAGGTTTCGGAAGTGGCCGGCCGAACTGAGAAGTCGAGCTCTTCAAAGATTAGAGGTCAACAGAGTAAGTACAAAATTGATTTACAAGGAAACCTTTCGTAAATTAAATAACTATAGCTTTATCAGTTCTCCAAAAACACCTTTTTCCTAATCTAATGAAAGATTATGGGGAAGCCAGTTTTGCTATAAAACAGAAAATTGAGAGGTGATGGTGATCTTTAGAAAGCTGAAGTGAGGATTCTCGTTGCAGCGACTGCTAAATACCTTTTCTACACAACGCGACGACGTTCTCTTATCGACATTTTTGCTGCGCGCCGTTCTGAAATGACGTTCCCGTCCTCTTGCTAAACCACTCTATTGATAAGGACGTGGCCCAGACTCTTCTAAAGATTCTGAATTATCCCCATTGCTGTCATAAACTAAGTTTAAGGCATTCGAGTCAGTCTCTTCTGAAAAAACATCGTCCGAACTACTGCTACTAACAAGAGCTGCCATATCAACTCTACTCCACTGTAGAGTATCTGCTGCGCTATATATTTTAGTTCCATCACTACGTCACGACTTGTCGCTATTGCTTTTACCGGAAGTTAAATTTTAACCTCTGAAAGAAAAATCTTCGTTTGTCAAATTTTATGTAGTTTTATTTTGAACGAGGTCTTGAGAAAAAAATAGGTCCGCAATGCATACATGTGTGGCTTACGAAATTGAGCTGCTTTTTAGTGTCTGATGTCTCATTGGGTTTCTATTAGAAGAGCTAATATCTGATTACCATTAGATAGTTTTCAATATTGACCCTGTTCATCAATAACACAAGATAACTAGCATACAAAAGTCCTGAAATGTTCATTCTGAAGATGAGAGTTATCGGCCAAACTTTGTTATGGAGGTCTCATTTTGACAACAAAAGTTGCACATGTAACTCGAAGATTTAAGGAACTGAAAAAACATCAGCATAATCTCCCATAGTGGTCTGATAGATTCAGTCATGATTATGTTTACGTAACGAAGTGGAATTGACTTCTGAAGTTTGTAGGTTGATTGTCTTTTCCAAGGCAAGTGATGTGAAATGAACTCTAGGGAAGAATTTCATATGAATATTTTTGACATTTTGTGTACAAGTACACAAGGACAAAACTTTGGAGAAGGGCAGGGACATTCAGGAAATGATGTAATCTACACTAGAAACCATTGGGAGCTTGATTTGGTTTGAATGTATGACTAATTTTGGACAATACATACATGTAAAGTAACACAATGCTGGGTGCAGGTTTCTTTTGTCCATTAGGGCATAAAGTTCAACTTTCAGTTGGTTGAGAGCAAAACGTTTATTATAATTAGTGTATTTAGGTTCTGAGGGACTATATTTTCAATAAAGAACACAGGAAAATTTAGTTCAGGTAGGTAGATATGAGGTTGCAAATAGTAGAGTCTAGGGAAAAAAGATAGGTGCATTACAAGATCAGAACACAAGCAATATTTTAGTGAATCATATGTTGAGTTAAGTACTCTGAAGTAACATTACATTAACGTTGCTAATAATTTTTAACCCAACAAGATTTACAATTTGACCTGAAGGTTTTATGAAACAGAAAGTTAAATGGAGATAGTGTCGCCATAATCACGATGGTCGGTTGCCAAGGGTTTTCCTCCCGCAACTCTGATATCTGGGTTTTAGTACAGGGCTACGGGGGAAGCGCGGACACAACCAAGAATGGTGAGAGAATAACGCTAACTTTCCAAAGGCTCGACACTGCAGAAAAAATTTGGTCTCCCGCGAAATTTTAAGGAGAGAATTTTCTCAAGAAGCGGCACTTCGAGAAAATCCCCGAGGATGGTCGCGTGCTTCAAAGTTACAGCGGCAAGTCAATTGTTGTTGTTACACAAACTACGCCGCTTCAAATGGTTTATTCAACAAAACAACAAAGGGTAGTAACCACATTTTGCGTGCAGCGCAATGATCGAGAAGGATTTGCAAAGGACTCAAATTTGCATAAGCTATTGAATTTGAACACTATCTAGCTTGACAGTTAATTAACAGTAGGACTTGCTTATGTTTTGGTAGACCTTGTCACGAAACTTCATACATCAAAAGAATAACAACCCTGAGTGTAATCTGAAACAAAGTTCTGAAGGAAACATGTTTTTAATACAAGCAGATATTTTAAAATTTAATCTTCGTATCCTCTAGACTGTAATACATTGGAGTAAATAAATAGAAGTATGGTTTTACCTAAACATAACAGCTGAAAGCTTTTTTATTATTTTACTAACAATGATGTCTGATTCATTTATGAAATTATCCTATCAGTATACAGAATAACTCCTTTTTAGATACAAATTTCATTTATCTGTATATACTTCATCTTACTCTTAAAACTATCAACCTGCAACAAAATCCATCAAAACAAATCCATTACTAAAACAAATGTATTGTGTCAACATAAGCAAAATGCTGAGTCATTAGTTATTGACCCTTTGACCCCTTACAATGTCTAGCATCTAAGTTCTTCTTACAATATTAACCCCAAATTAAACATAAGGTCACAAGAATGAGGGAAATAATTATTAACTAATGAAGCTCTTGATTGTTAAGCAAATTCTCCTTGTCAACACCTTGTAAAATATATTGAGAACAGTATAGAGAATATTCATGCTGTTGTTAGCATGTAAAGGATTAAGTGGTCAAACCTTTAAGTACAAAATTCCATAAATTCATTAGAGCAGAAACCCTGCCTCTAAAATGCAAGTCAGTAAAAAAGTAATGGGTTTACAAAGTTTTATATGTAATATATCAGTGCATACCAAGTGAGTGACAACAGTACTTTTGCATTCAGACAGGTTTAACCTCTCTGACAAACATAGCTAACTTAAAAAATTTTGCAACAATTTAAATTTATTTTTCTTATGAAGTAGGTATATTACTCACATTACTGGTACACAGAATTTTTTGAGAGCCTAGTTATCATTCTCATAACAAGTATGCCTTATTGTGCACCAACTTGACCAAGAAAAATAACTTTCAAATCATAAACAGTGCGAGAAACACCTGATACCCCTGGGATTTGTGTGACATGACCAACGTCTAAACTTTTCACAAACTTGTCAACATTGTCATCTGAGAAGCTGAGCTTGGGTAACCTTAAGTCTACTCTGAGACATTTAATGTTATGTGGCAGCCAGACTTCTTTTTCAGCATTAAAAAATGAACTTTGTGTTTTACAGACAAGATTATACTTTCTTCTAGACAAATAACTCTGATATTTAAGTGCCACAGACTGTTTCAGTACTTCTTCTGACTTCTGAAAATCATTTATGGCTCTCTCAAAAATACCCTGAAGAAATCGGCCCCTCTTATAATTACTCATTAATTTGGTCATGGTTTCATTACTTGCATTGGCAGCCAAAAAATCCCATGCCCCATACAATGAAGCTTCAAAACCCCCATGAACAAATTCTAAAATTTTTTTAGTTTCTTCCCTTCTCCTGTATCTAGTGCTCGACTTATAATCATTAATCATTTCATATGATGTGCTAGCAGCACTCCTTCGTCTTCGGGAATAATCCTTCTGCTCCAACAGCTTTTTCACTTTCTCGTATACCTCCTTTAGTTCTCTCAGTGTCTCCTGTGCTTCACTTATTTCTTCGTCTGGTGTCTTTCTCTCCTTTTGATTTTTGCAGTGGCTCTTTCTATAAACAAGGATAGGGAATCATCATCAAAATAATGACAATTCCAAAACGGCAAATAAATGAATAAATAATAATCAATTCCATTTATCTTGCCGCAACTAACCCACTTACAAAAAGGAAACTAACCTTATTCCTCCACTAGAGTATCTGTTGTTATATCCGGGTATCCACGCATATTGCAGGCTTGGCTGCTAAGCCGAAGGACGTTTTGGATACGTTGGATCTGACTAATTTCAGTGTAAAAACTCTTCTTGTATATTGGAGTCTGTTCCGTTACAATTAAAGACTTTGCGACACTACAAATTGGCGACGAGGATAAAAGACAATCGGATAACACGCCAAGATGAGTTTTGAAAGGTTTTCGTTGTCACCAGTTAATTTAGAGGCGACAAACTTGGCGGATGAGTGGAAGTTTTGGCTCGATGCTTTCGACAACTACCGAATTGCTACGAAATTAGATAAGGAAAGCGACGACGTTCAAAAAGCTACTCTTCTACATCTTGCGGGGACGGGAGTCCAGCGTTTGCTCTCAGGTTTGCCGGGAGAGAACAAGAAATTTGAGGAAGTTAAACAAGCGTTGAGTGCACATTTTCAGCCGAAGAGAAACAAGTGGGCAGAGAGGCACAAGTTTCGAAAACGTGCTCAACTTCAACATGAATCACTTGATACCTTCATTGCAGAGTTACGTATGCTGAGTTTAACATGCGACTTCGGGGAAGCAAATGATGATAATATTCTTGGTCAAGTTATAGAGAAGTGTTCTGACGGATATCTACGAGAAAAAGCTACTACAACAAGGAGAGACTCTTACACTGGAAAAAGCCCAGACGCTCGGGAGAGCAATTGAATCTGCAAAGAAGGATACACAGCTACTTGGGGGTCACGGGGCCCAAAACATTCCTGGAAAATCTGATGTTAATGCGGTAAGATTTTCAGTAAATAAAGCGAAAAGAAAAAGCCTGCTTTCGCTGTGGAAAAACGGATCATCTTGCTAATAACGAAAGGTGCAAAGCTAGGAATGCACAGTGCATAAAATGTAAGAAGACTGGTCACTTTTGGAAATATTGCAGATCAAGAGAATCAGAGAATAAAGAAGATGTAAAGTTTGTCCAGCCAGTCCAGCATCAGTCAGATAAGTCTAACCCTGAATATGTTTTGTATACTACTAATAATGAGGGGCTGGGTGTTGAAACTGATGTCGAAATCAATGGTAAACTTGTTCAAATGATGATTGACACTGGCTGTGCTAAAACCTTGATCCCGAAACAGTGGTTTAGAAACAACCTGAACATTCCTCTTAACCCAACCAATGTCAAGTTCTCAGCTTTTGGTGGAGGAGACCTCAAGTGTTTAGGAGTATTTGATGCTAAACTGAGATGCAATAAGATGGAAGTAATGGAGCCAGTGTATGTGATCGATGTGGAAGGTCCCCCTGTTGGGAAGAAGCGCCCTGTCCACCCTCAACCTTGTAAAAATCCATGCAGTAGGGGAGAGCCCAACCAAGGCGAGGGAGAAGATCTATCAGGAGTATGAAAATCTCTTCAAGGAAGAGCTCGGAGACTTTAAGAATTATGAGTACAAAATTAAAATCAATTCAGATGTCCCTCCCAAGGTACAAAAACAAAGGCCAGTCCCTGCACCCTTAGAGGATAGATTGAAACAAGAAATAGAGCGAATGATCCAAGAAGATGTGATTGAAGAAGCGACAGGAGCATCGTGGATATCACCTGTGCAGATTGTCTACAAGGGAATGGAGAATTGAGAGTGTGCGTCGATCTCAGGGAAGCTAATAAAGCAGTGATAAGAGAGCGGTTTCCAATTCCTAGAATCCAAGACCTGTTACGGCAACTGAGTGGGGCTCGGATGTTTTCGACTCTGGATCTAAGGAAAGCATATTGGCAGGTTCGCCTAGCAGAAGAATCTAGAGAAATTACATCGTTCATAGCCGCAGGCAAAGTGTATCAGTTCAAAAGGCTGCCCTTCGGACTTGCGTCAGCACCAGAGGTGTACCAAAGGGTCATGAGCATAGTGTGTGAAGGCTTATCAGGTGTGCTTAGCTACTTTGATGATGTTGTGGTGTACGGGTCAACACCAGAAGAACACTGGAAGAATCTTCGTGCAGTGATGGCTAAACTTCAAGACTGTGGCCTTCGTCTCAATGCAGACAAGTGTGCCTTGGGCATGTGTGAGCTGAAATTTCTAGGACACGTCATCTCTGCTGAGGGCATTAAGCCTGACCCTGACAAGGTAAAAGCCATTGCAGATGCACCAGTACCTCAAAACCAAGCTGAGCTGAGATCATTTCTGGGAAGCATTACATACCTTACACAGTTTGTTTCCAACCTTGCAACAGTGATCACCCCTTACGATATCTTACGCAGAAGGGTGTGGTGTGGAAATGGAGTACAACAGAATCCAATGCCTTTGAGGAAGTTAAAGAGCTTCTGATTAAAGCACCATGCCTTGCACACTACTCATTGGAAGCCGAGACCAAACTTGTAGTAGATGCCAGCCCAGTCGGTCTTGGGTGTGTCTTGCTGCAAAATGTTGACAGCCGTTGGCAGCCCATATCTTATGCGTCCAGAAGTCTAACTGCTGCAGAGAAGAGATATTCGCAGATCGAACGAGAGGCAATGGCTGTGCTGTTCGGATTGCAGAAGATGCATTCTTACATTTATGGTCGCCACGTTGTCGTCTCGACTGATCATAAACCACTACTTGGCGTATTCAATAAAAACACTCAATCAATTCGCCTGGAACGGATCGCTTTGAGATGTCAGGACTATGACTTCACACTCACTTATGAACCTGGATCTGAGAACATTGCAGATGGACTGTCAAGATTACCTTTGAACGCTACTGTTACAGAAACAAGTTTTGTTGAGGAGCATGTACACTTTGTCAAAAGTGCTGATGCTTTGCTCTCAATTGATGAAATAAAAGAGGCTGGAGAGTCTGACCCTGAATTACTAGAGGTGGTGAAGGTACTTGATGGAACCCAGAACCTGGTAAATAATAAATGGAAACATTTTAAAGATGAACTGAGCTTTGCACAGGGCCTACTGTGGCGAGGTCGACGAATTTATGTTCCTGAGAAGTTGAGAAAAAGGCATTGACCTTGGCACATGAGGCTCATCAAGGTATTGTGCGTTGCAAGCAACGCCTTCGTAGAATTCTGTTCTGGCCGGGGATGGACTCTGATGTTGAAGACTACTGCCGAAATTGCGAGACTTGTGTGCGCCTTCAGCCACTACGACGAGACACACCTAATACAGCAACTCCTCTTCCCGATTACTGCTGGGAGAAGTGTGCCCTTGACCTGGTGGGTCCATTTCCTGGAGAGATCTACATCATGACTGTTGTTGATTACAGAAGCAAGTGGCCCGAGGCTATTGTTCTTAAGCGTATTACAAGTGAGAGTATAGTCACTGCACTTGCAGATATATTTGCACGATTTGGAAATCCAAAAGTTCTGATCACGGACAATGGACGTCAGTTCGTAGCTGAGGAATTCCAAGACTTCATGAAGGCAAATGGAATACAGCACAGAAGAGTATCACCCTATTTTCCACAAGCAAATGGGCAGGTCGAAAGATTTCATAGGTACCTAAAGCACAGTATCAGAGCAGCAGAGTTAGATGGTCTATCCTGGACAGAGGTTCTGCCCACAATCCTGCAAGTTTACAGATCCACTCCACAGGCCGGGACTAACATGACCCCGGCTAAACTGTTTCTCAACAGAGAGATAACAACAAAGTTGCCAACAGTACCAGAAATGGATCAGAACAACCCTGAAGAGAGGTACAAAGAATACCAGAGGAAGTTATGTGAGTATACTGATGCCAAGCGACATGCACAACAACATAACCTAGTACCTGGGGATATTGTATTTGTAGCAAATACAAAATCTGGAAAATTGATTCCCACGTTTGGTCATCAGAAGTATGTCATTGTTCGTAGCAAAGGACCAGATACTTTTGAACTTGTCAATGCTGAGACTGGACAACATCTCACTCGTAATGTGAAGTTTCTTAGTAGAGTTCCACGCATGGAGCTACCAGTTAAGGATGACAATGACAACGGCTGCTTGGAGTCGGAAGAGTTCGCTGGGGCAGCGATGCCTCCTTTGGATCAACTCGGATCTACAGTCTCGGATGATAGGAATCCCGCAGATAGTGGTCCTCCCGACTCAGCAATGGAATTGAGACGTTCAACTCGAACACCAAAGCCAAAGAGAGATCCTGACTTTGTTTATGACTAGAACATTGTTTTAGTTCTTCTATGTTAAGTTGCGTTGTTAGAATGGACTTTGAACTTTAAATAGGTTAGGATGGGATGTTATATCCGGGTATCCACGCATATTGCAGGCTTGGCTGCTAAGCCGAAGGACGTTTTGGATACGTTGGATCTGACTAATTTCAGTGTAAAAACTCTTCTTGTATATTGGAGTCTGTTCCGTTACAATTAAAGACTTTGCGACACTACATCTGTCTCCCTTTGTAAAGCCAAGATATCTTGCTCCTTCTTGGATAAAGCATCTTCTTGGACTTGAAGATGGCGAAAGTTGTCTTGGAGCGTTTGGCGCTCCTTATGAATGTTAAAAATGGGCGATGTTTCCCAGAAACGATTTACTTGTTGTTTCGAATCACATTTGCCCACATGGCCTTTCTCTTTGCTGCATTTTCGGCTTTTTCCGCAACATTTACGGTCTCCTTCAGGGCTACAGATGAAATAAAACACTCAACATTGAGCCTAAGGAAATTAAAGATGGCGGCCTAAATGATCGCAGAAATTTTTTTTGGGATCACTTTCTGAAGGAGCTTAGAAACCAGGCTTAACTCAGTAGCCAAGCCTACTGAATTTGTGCCCAAGCCTTTTCTTGCTTGCGTGACCTTTTTTGTCACACTAGAGAATACAAGGAACTTCGGCGAGTAGTAAATACAAGCTCAAATTTTTAAAGTAGTAAAGAGGAAAACTTTTTGAGACTGAAAAGTAAGTAAGTAAGTTTTTTAGTGTTTTACAACCTAAATTTAGTGTTTCCTTTTGTAATTTTACAACGTACAGTAAATTGTCAAATCAATAACTCGAAAAGCTTACAGCTAAAATTTAACTCTTTATTAATAACCTTATACTTTCTTGATCTGATATCTCAATTAGCAATAACACCAGAAATAATTTTCTTTTTGTGGTATATACTATATGTATACCTAACTTGTTGAAGTACGTTGTCATGAAATAATGCACTTAGCAACAATTAATCTGATTACACAAAACTGAGTCAATGTTTAAATTGTTCCCTGGACTGCCTGGACTGCCTGGACATCTGAGGCAACTGATAATGCATTTTGGGAGTGGTAGGGATGCTTACTTCATAGTGGCTATGGCTGTACCTGTCCTTTAATTTGCCTTGTTGTTTGTAATAGATTTTCCTTGCATTGTCTGTTATTTTTTTTCAGGAAATTTTAGTCTGCAAGAAGAAAATTCTTTTACAGAAGAATCCTTTTCCTGTAACGTTTACAACTGTTGCTTACGTTTGCCATATTTCTGATATTTTTATCATAACAGAATTTTTCACAAAAATTATTTGACATTGAATTCTTATACAAATACTGCAAGGTCATGCCAACCCACCAACCCATTAAGGTGGTGTTGAAAACTGCAGTAAGGTCTATCGAATATAGTTAAATTACTGAATTTCACTCCATGACTTACTACTACAGAATATGGGGCTTTTTATGATTAGGTACCAAACAAAAAAAAAAAAAGGTTCTTGGCTCATTTGCATCAAGCCACCTAATATAATTCACAAAGATTATTTCACATTGGATTCTCATACAAATACTGCAAGGTCATGCCTACCCACCAACCCATTAAGGTGGTGTTGAAAACTGTAGTAAGGTCTACTGAATAAAGATAGAGTACTGAATTTCACTTTATGACTTACAATTACAGAATATGGGGCTTTTTTATGATTAGGTACAAAACAAAACAAAAAAAAAAAGCTTTCTTGGCTCATTTGGATCAAGCCACCTAATATAATGCAATCAATGTCTTGTTTTCTGTATTGTGAGACATTGCTCAGTTGGAATTGATATTTAAATCTTAATTATAATCATTTAAATCCAACTGAATGTATTTCTTTCATTACATTTCCACTGACTGCCAAACCAGCAAGCCTTGAGGCATTAAACTGTGAGGACTTTAAAAAGGCCTTATATTGTTTACATGTAGCTGCTTTGGGGGGGGGGTGGTAAAAAGTTTCAAATTTGGTTAAGAGTATGGAACACAATAATAATAATAATAATAATAATAATGTTAATAATAATAATAATAATAATAATCATTTTTTTTTTCCATCCTTTGTTTCAAATGCATCTGACCCAGAGCCATTATTGGAACATACCAGAATAGCCTTTTTATTAATGGAAGGCCTCAGTGATGCACAGATATGATATGAAAATAATTTTCTCTTGTGTGAGGCATCAGTCAATTTAGGAATAACCAAGTGTAAAATTTCAAGTCAATATGGTCCAGAAACCACTCATTTTTGTAGAGGGTGGAGCAGGGAGGGGTGGAGGGGTCGAAATTATTAGGTTTGCGTACCGTTTTCACTCTTTGCACCCTGAGCACTCAGTCACGCACACTTCAGATGGATGCTCAACACAACAGCGTCAAAAAATAATCAAGCAATAACTAAGACGTGCAAAGCTTCCACGGTGAATATAAATTTACCGCTATAAACAGTGAAAAGGCCTTACAGATTTTACACGTAGCTTCTTTGAAGGTACAACTTCCTATGACGTTCTAACAAGATTATCAAGTTGTCAAATAGTATTTTCATATGATTGATACCAATTGCTTTATTAAGTCGAAATAAGCTTAATGTCAAGAATAAATAAGCGGATCACTACACTTCCGACGAATTTTGTGGTCCGTTAAAAAAAAGTACTTGGTTCAATTACGTAGTTCACCGAAAGGTTAATTTTGTTTGCCTGCTAGGATTTCTTTTAACATTGAATACATTTTCAAGACCTGTACTCAACGAGGTGCACTTCTTGCGATTGTTCTGCAATCTAGCGGGTCCTTCGGAAAAACGTCACCGAGAGCAGAGCTAAGACACTATTCAGAAGCAAGTATTTTCTAGGTTTGAAATTCCCTTCGGTTCCATTTGACCGTGAGAAGAGTTTAGAATTCACGAAGAAAGCGTATTTTAGCCAAAGGCAGAAGATTCGTATTTGAACGGAGCGCAGCGAGATAAGGTAATATTCTTTCACGCGAAAATAAAAAAAAAAACAGGGTTAATAGATAACTTCCCATTTGTTTTTTCTCGCGCAAGTAACAAAAATGTTCCCTTCCCTGTCCCCATCCAATCGCACTTCAACCAGTCGGGGGAGATGAGTATAGAATTGTTAACAAATCATCAGAAGGCTTGGTTACCTAATTGAGCCTGGTGTCTAAGCTCCTTCAGAAAGTGATCCCAAAAAAAATTTCTGCAAACTGATCAACGGAGAAAATCGAGTTTACAGGACAATTTCTTACCTGGATTCCTCCGAAGAAATTGGCGAAAACGACGCCATTTACACCAAAGTCCACTTTCAACTTTCGATTTATGGTACGCTCGGTAACTAAACGGTCAAAATTATACTTTTTAGGGAGGAGGACAGGTATTTTGGGTGTATTTTCTTCGTTTTTGTTCCGCGTTTGTCTTAACAGTGGAGCCCCCTAAGTAAAAAATTGTTCTCTCAGTCCCAGGACTTTAGAAATACAGAAATCACAACGGTTGTGTTAACGTATTGGCTTCTGTAAACCCGTTGTCAGCCGATAGCGTACCTATCTTAGACGAGTCGTTTCGTGGAGAAGTCAGTCGAAAAGCCTGATTTTCTCTTTCTTCTGCCATAAGTGAAAGGCCATAGTCATTCAATATGAAAAAAAAGAAGGCTGGTAAGCTTTATCCAATGTAAAATAAACGACTGAAAAAAGCCCTTTAGCTTGACACCTTAAATCAGCTCAAGCCGTGAACGCTTCTTCGCGTGACCTCTAAGATAGCAACGGGAGGAATTTACATAGCAACCGGGCATCGTGAATAGATTTCAGGACTTGCAGGAACCGTAATCATAGGCATAACTTTGTATTGGAGCATACACTGCGGTTTGTTGTTTGATTGGAAGTTTTAGAATTATCGCTGTCATTTTCTACCAATCATAAATAGATCCCGATCAACGTCATCGTAGCTCGTCATCGTATGTTATTAGGGAGTTTAAGATACGGTCACTACGGACTACGGACTACGGTAATACACGGCGAGGACCTGGTTCGAGATTTACTGCACATGCTCGATAGCACGTGGGTTTCGCAGTCCGTCGTATGGTTGCAGGCTACGGCGAGTAGTCGAGGAGATTCGCGTAGTGAGGACTACGTAAGTATTTTTTTGCCGATTTTTGACCAGTTTTGTTTTCTAAACGCTACTTTTATGTTGAACAGTTTTTAGGCAATTAAACTTGAGCGAAAAAGAAGTAAAAATCGCATTTTTTTCTGTTTCTGGTTTTGATTACTGACGCCCTTTGAATTCTGTTGTGTTTACAAGCAGATTAGGATGTCAACAGGAGATGCGGACGTCCAAAAGTTGAAATTAAATCGAAATAGCGGCATGGGTATGCTAGTCGTTTTAGCAGTAAACAAAGTCCTTCTAAGCCACTGCAAACTGTTCCCTGTGGGCACTTGAAACTCGCCGCAATCCGCAATGCGTTCAATAACATCGGAATATCATCCTTGGCCACCCTGAAGTGAGCTTCGCACTCGCAAGAGTCGAACACATCCAAACAGAATGGATCAAATTTCCAGTACGGAAATGAAGGATTAACGGGTTGGTAATAATCGTAAAGAACAATAAACTCTTCATCATCCAGAAAACCATCCGCATAAGCGATTAAAAGGGCGTTTCTAGCATCTTCGAAGAACATTTTTTTTTCCAAGTGCAGCCGTAGTCCGTAGTCGTTGTCACGATCTTAACATCAAACAACACTCCAATTTTCGCGCCCTTTTAGCGTAGTCGGCCCAGTCCACGCGTGGCTTGGATTCTCACGCCCGGACGTAGTCCGTAGTCCGTAGTGACCGTATCTTAAACTCCCTATTATTGCCAAACCCCACACCCATTACGATTCCCTCGGTTGTAGGAGAAATATCCATTCATACCGCGGCACAGTTGTAGGCGTTCCGTCGCTAATGTACCGAGTGCCGAAATGGCAGGTTATCGAATAGGAGAGAAAAATCGTGCCAAAATAGAAAAGGATCCCCAACTTCGCTCTCTTATCTGCCTTTATTGTGGGTATTTGTCGAAAGATCCGACAGTTTTAACGTGTGGACACCGCTTTTGTCGAACTTGTGTGGAAAGCGTTCGTGTTTTGGGGTAAGTTAAAATGAGTTAATCCCGGTGAATCAAAAGATCACAAGTTGAAGTTTAGAACATGTGATGGGGTCGATGAGAACTTACTTTATTCCGCTTACTTGACACAGAAGTGTCACTGACTAAGGGAAATGTTGGTTCCTTCACATTTTACAACGAATGATTTTTGTGTATATGTTTCTATCCGAGAGTTTCAGCGTAAAACTAGTATCAGTGTGCCCATATTGTGATAAATTTTCGAAAGAAAGATAAGGAATGCTATAGAAAAAAATCTTAAGTCGGGGACTTCTTTTCCCGCGAAAATAAGTTTCACGCGCGAGTTGATCGTGGTGGCCAGATAAAAATCATGATCTTCATGGAACGGTTTTTATGCAAATTTGGCGAATCCACCATCAGCACTAACCATCAGCACCACTTTCACTGATGACGTAACGAATTTCAGTGATTTGAAATGATGAGCGGCGTGTGTGGATCTGATTGTGTGGTAGTCGTGAGAAGAAAGGCCGATTTCGTACCACTGCAGAGCCCAGCCGATTTTTGCTCTATTTTCTATCAATTAATTCTCAATACTAATGTAGTCTTTTGAATTATCTAGTTCCTTTGTAACTGTGGCGTGCCCTATTGATGGCCATTATGTAAAGTTGGAGGAGGTAAGGTTGAGCTTATTTATGCCATATAACTTCAAGGCAGATTTAAGAATACCAGCACTATGCTAAGCACAGAAGTAAATCCAGTACAGTGTGTGTTACCAAGCCGACGTGTTACCTAAATGTAAGCTATCCTTTCAGGATTTAAGCCCCATGAATTTCAGTTTTTAAAAGAATGTACATGAGTATGGGTAACCCAGATTTCTGATCTTTCAAGAAGGGTTTTCAAGATTTTTTCTCCCTATAACTATTTTTCCATCATAAGAATTTATAAATTAGAAGATTTGAAATCACTTAAATTTACATCCTCTGAATTTTTAACTTTGTTAATTCTAGTGCCACCAAGATAAGCTCGCAATAACACAAATAAACAATCTTGTTATGTCCTGTGAGATAAAAACTTGCTCTTGGCTTGGCAAGGTATGGCATTTAGAGGTGAGTTTATTTTTCTGTGATCACATTACCCTAATTACATTTGTCAATCCAACTATGTCTTTAAGTTAACTGTGACCTAAAACTGCCAGAGTGGTTATTCCCAGTTTCTGAGCACCAAGTGATGAAAGCTTTGCTGGTCTATTGCATGACAGGTTAACCCCAACCATCCCCCCCACCCTCCCCCCTTGAAATGTGCTTGGTTTTCCTAACTTGTACTTAGCTTTACTCTGGCTGGGGTGAAGTCAGGTGTACTGAGTTTCTACAGTAGCATGTTTAAAATCAATGTTCTTTGCAATTGATCTCAACAATATTACATTATTAATCTAGTCATGAATAAATGTGAATTTACATTAGCTGCAACTGTAAGAATTGGTTAAATTCTACTAATAACCACCAGTTGTAATTAAATAATATAATGAATTAAAGAAAGACCTCTTTTTGTCTTGTGGCTTGCATGGAACAAAGGGATAATCTGTGTTCTAATGCTTTGCATAGAGCCATGGAGACTCAAAGGTCTGAGGTTTGATTTTTTATGGAGCCTTTTTCCTTGTCCCATACTTGCCATGTAACAAAAAATGAGCCTTCTTCATACCAATTATAATTTTGTCTTTTTGTTATTGAAGTCATATTTAAGTATTGGAGCACCTACATTACTTGTATTCTTCTTGAATAGGATCATATGAAAGATTTTCACTATGGCCACGAAGAGGAATGTGCAAAGGTAACTCAATCTACCTTTTTCTTTGGTGTGGTGGTCTCTAACTCAAGGGATCATTCGCTGAGGTTGTCTCTTTTACCTGACTACAAAGCTTACCCAAGTGTAACCTGAAACTATATATTATTATGTAATCAAAGACATTAGAGTGATTTAGATGATTATTACAGATCACTTAAAAGTCAGAAAGAATAATTTTCAAGATCAGGGAAAAGTCAAAGGGAGTTTCATTCTGATAGTCAGGGAAATTTATATCTTTGAGTGAAGTCAGGGAAAAGTGAAATTTCAATTAAAGTTATATGAAATGCTTTATCTTGTCATGGCCCTCTTTATGATTTCCCTTTGTATAAGCAATTTCAAATTGGTTTGTGAATGACATCATGTTTTTTATTTTTCTTCTATTTTCATTGTTTCCTCACGTTTTAAAGATTATTTGCTTCATTTCATGGTCAGAGAAGATGTTAGATCTGTGGAATATTCTGTAATTAAATTGATTGACAATAAAGCTAAGGATGACTTCACTATCAACTTGTGTACACTGTATGTAACTTACTGAGGGCATAAAATTTTGGGTGGAGAGGATGCCTGTGAGATGAGCTTGAAGACCATCATCAGGACTGTTTTTTAAATTGTTGATTCATTTGGTCAAGAAAAATTGATGATATCAGTTAGAAAGTATTTGAAAACCTATAACTGAGGCAACCATGTAATACAAAATTTAGTGCTAACAGTCAGTGCTTGAAAACTGAGCATGAACGTTTAACTGAGACTAACAGTAATTATTATTTTTTAAGAATTTGCACCAGGATGGGGAACTTAAAAGGCTAAGACAGGAGCAACAAGAGGCAGCAAGGAAGATCACGGACATTGAAGAAATGGTGATCATTTCATAGACTAATGTAAAAACAGTTGTACTTTCATGTGAAAAAAAGCAAACAAAGTAAAAGCAGACTTGGTCCATTTACTTGTACTACTCTTACACATGTATGCAATCCATGAGCTGACAAATTTCAAATATCTAGAATGGGAACTAAAGGTGAACTCAAAACATTGCTGTAAATGCAGTGGGAGAATTCATCCCTTCAAATACTTTCATATGACTATAAGCTGAGGCAGATGCTTCACGTTTAAAAGAAGGAGTAATTACCATACCCTTCAAACATTTACTCTTTGTGGACGTTGTTTGAATTTTCAAAAGCAATATTTTCTGAGCTCAACAGCTTTGCTTTTTTCAAGACTGAAATTTGAGGTATTGTAATTCATGTTAGATACTCACTCGGGCTGGGGTTTATACTACCTCAGTTTTGAAGGAGTGTATGTACTCATACAAATAATTACCATGTTCTATTATTTTTTAATAGAGCCATGAATAAAGTGAAAATTTTTTTTTTTGGATTGTTTCTTTCATTTGTAGCTTGGAAACCAAGATGTGACAATCCATAACATAAGGAGGCAACTTTCTGCATTTTCGGATGCTTTTGTGAAAGTCCAAGGCCATGGTCAGTTGGACAATAAAGTAAGGGACTAAACAATAAAGATTCAGTATATGCAGATGATGAATCAAGGTTGTTAAAGTGTTTGTCAGTTTTTCTAATTAGGATGGTTATTTTACGATGCCAGTTCTTTAACTGATTTAATTTTGTGCTTTCTAAATGTTTTGTTTGTTTCCTGTATGTGCTGTGAAACAATTGTTTCAATTTTTCTCATAAAGGTCTTATTACCTTCCTTGGACATATCAGATGGTTTATGGAGGTTTCTCCCCTTACCACTTTTGTGAATTAACCCCCCCCCCCCTTGTAGTAAAACAGTTTGCCCCAAATATTTTAACTTTTCCTTGTAGCAAAATTCCTTTTCTGTCAAAATCATACTATAAATTCTGATCAACAGGCAATTTTTTTTTGCTGAGTCATATACTTGACTACGAAACCATGTTAGTCACCCCTAAACACTGTGTTTGGTGACATGAGTGCAAGTATTAAATTACAAAGTATGTCTGTGGGTGATTGCTTAAAAATATTTGTTACCTTTAAAGGGGCTGTTTTTGTTTCTTGTCAACAAGTGAATGAATACCAGACTATGAGAAGATATAAGAGGTTGAGTGAACTGGGGCAAATAAAAGTACATAAAAAATCTACTTGCACATTTCTATATTTGCATATTTCAGGAAATATTGACAGGAAGTGATGAGCTGAGGCAACAACTGAACACTTTCAAGCATAAAATTCAAACTTTGGAAGAACAGGTACTGGTACATGGACAAATTTGATGAGGTTGACTGAAGTCTAGCTCTTCTTAACTTACTATCTACTCTCAGCAGAAAAGTAATGTCTTGCCCAAGTGTACTGTACTGTGTTTTCCTACAATTGGAAGGTTTTTCTCACAAAACGAGGGAGTTTGCATTTGACTGAGACTAACAGTGATTATTATTTTTAAGAATTTGCACCAGGATGGGGAACTTAAAAGGCTAAGACAGGAGCAACAAGAGGCAGCAAGGAAGATCATGGGCATTGAAGAAATGGTGATCATTTAATAAACTAATGTAAAAACAGTCACACTCTCATGTGAAAGAAAGAAAACAAAGTACAAGTAGACTTGGCCCAATTACTTGCACTACTCTTACATATGTATGCAATCCATGAGCTGTAATTCACCAGGCTACTAATTACATTTATTCAAAATATATTTTGGATTATGGGGGTACGTTTTTAGAGAATTTTGGGTGCTGTGTTGGTGGGAGAGTATAACAGGGTAATTTAGTAATATCAACTGAATTAATCATGTAAATTGGCCACTGTGAAGAGTTTCTTCAAAGCTGATGTTTGGAGTATTAGCCCTTTGTCAGAGCAAATGACAAAGGGCTTTATTAATGCTCCTTACATCAACTTTGAAACCTTTTATGGTGGCCAATTTACATTTATAAACTCAGTTGATAATACTAAATTACCCTACATTTTGAATTGTCTTATAATGCCAGTCATGTGCCATTTTGAAGAATTTTAAATGTCTGGAATGAGAACTAAGGGTGAACTCAAAACATTGCTGTAAATGCAGTGGGAGAATTCATCCCTTCAAATACTTTGATATGACCATAAGCTAAGGCAGAAGCTTCACTTTTAAAAGAAGGAGCAATTACCATACCCTTCAAATATTTACTCTTTGTGGACGTTGTTTGAATTTTCAAAAGCAATTTTTTCTTAGCTTAACAGCTTTGCTTTTTTCAAGACTGAAATTTGAGGTATTGTAATTCATGTTAGATACTCACTTGGGCTGGTGTTTCTACTACCTTTTCAAGGCAATATATATATATATATATATATACATACATACATATATATATATATATATATATATATATACATATATATATATATACATACATACATACATACATACATACATACATACATATATATATATAGGAAGTCTGCAAGTCGATTTTCGCGTGGAACAGTGCTCAATATGTTGAAGCAGAGCAGAATAAATATTATGAGAGGGAAAAAGGGACGCAACTACATTTCCCGACAAGCCTGTTTCGTGAATTGCTTCACTCTTATATATATATATATATATATATACTCATGCAAATGATTACCATGTTCTACTATTTTTTAAGAGAGCCGTGAATAAATTGATAAACTTTTTGTTTGGACTGTTTCTTACATTTCTTGCTAGAAAGGCAAGATGTGACAATCCATGACAAAGTATGTTTGTCACTGATTGCTTAAAAATGTTTGTTACCTCTAGAGGGGCTGTTTTTGTGTAATGGCAACCAATGAATGAACACTGGAGTAAGATATGAGAGGGTGAGTGAATAGGGTTGAATATTAGTACATAAAAAAAAAACTTGCACATTTCTACATTTGCATATTTCAGGAAAAATCAGCAGGAAATGTTGAGCTGAGGCAACAACTGAGCACTTTGCAGCATAAAGTTCAAACTTTGGAAGAACAGGTACATGGACAAATTTGATAAGGTCATTTGATGAGACAAAGTTGATAAGGTCTTACTCTTCTTAAATTGCCCTCTACTGTCAGTTGAAAGTAATGTCTTGTTCTGTTGTACTGTGTTTTTTCTTACTACTGGAAGGTCTCTTTCACAAAACTTGGGAGTGTCCATTTTTTTATTAACCTTTCACAAGGGAATTATCATATCTCTTGTCTTTTTTACTTTCCAGCTAAGGGTACAAAAGGATCAATGTGGCAAATACCGTGTTGAGTGTGTAGCTGAAAGTGGTCGCACTTGTGAGGAGCGTAACATAGAGGTTGAAACTCTTCAGGGCTCCATCAGTTGTTTGGAGAAACAGCTTGTTGATGTACAAAATAAGTATGCTGCTTTGCAAACCAGCCATGCTAACTTGCAACATCGCCTTGATGCTTTGCAAGCACAGTTTACATTTTCTTGATGTTCACCAGGAGGCACTGAAATGGTTTTATTTACAGTTTGATTGTGCCTCTCTGGCAAGTTCTTCAGCTGAAGTATTTCATCTTAGTGTCACAAAGTGTCCTATACTCTTTGTGGAGGGAAATTTATTGTGAGATTACTCCCTGCAAGGCTGATGCAGATTTCATTCTTGATTCCTATCAAAGGTGATTATGCCTGTGTTTTTACAGTAATGTATGGTGCTTGTTGTAACCCCTAGTCTTCGAAGTAGGTCCTTTGAGATAGCCTTCATTTATTTTTGTGACTCTCGAGGGACATAGTCGAAGTTTGTTTGTTATGAAAAGCAATGTTTCATTTCTCTTTTTTTTAATGAATTAGTGCTACTTTCAGACATTAGGAGCCTATCCTGTCTATTATTATCCATTATCTGCATTACTTTGTATTAAACACAGCTTTTATCACACTGAAATCTGCAATTTTGCTGGTAACTGGTATTCATGTTTAATTTTCATCAAGATCCAAACTTCATTCCCATGTTCCTGACAAGAAAAAAGCTGTTTGTTGGTAGTAGGGCCAGTTTACAAAATTTGTGATCTTTTCTTTTTAATCAGTACCTTTAAGTTTGAATTGGTAGTGCTATTGTATGGAGAAATTGATCGTTGGTAATTCTGTAGGGATTAGAGAGTAGATGTGTTTTTATACCAGGTTGCACCAACTTCTTTAACCTGTTGGCTCATGTTTTGGAAGGAATTTAATGATGACACCGTGGGAAATTTCAAAAAAAGGAAGGAGGATAGTTTGGGATTATGAACAAGTGATGTTTCTAACTTCAAAGGTAGCATATTTCTTAAACTAGGCACCCACACTCCATTAAGTGCCCCCCCTCCTCTCTCAATTTCTTAAATAGTAAAGATACAAGGAAAAATGATTCTATTGCCAAAATTGACCAGAATCAAGCTTTACCTACTGCAGTACAAGAGAATAGTTAGAGAATATTCTTCTATTGTCCATGTGGTAACTCAAGAATTATCATATTGGTTAGCAGTAGATGTGGTTGGAGCATCATAAATTGTTGTTCCACTGTAGTGTAATAGAGGGTTGGACCCCATCAGTCTATATGACAGTACTTATTACTACACTTGATGTAAAACAGTGCAAAAATCATTTTAATACAACTCAAACACCCTTGAGTGTTTGATGGCAATTTCGAATTTTATCAGGAAGAGTTTTTTGTCACCTTATTTTGAGGCTATTTTCTTAGAGTCTCATTTTATAAGAGTCTCGTGAGACGATGAAAAACTCGTAAAGCTTCTTAAGCTCTAAATTGTAATATTTTTAAAGGGTTTAGTAAAGGTGGGAATAACATAGTAGTTTGTTAGACAAACGATTTCAGGGTAACGAAGTTAGTATAAATTTGTATGGTATCACCAATACCGGTTATTCATTGCCACCCTAGTTTTCTAGTAGTTTTGGTATCATAAACTAGAATAACCTATTGAAACAAAAAAATTGTTACGTATTAGAAAAGTTGTTGATTAAAGAATTTTTGTTTATAATGGTTTGCGCATGTTTCCATTCTTTGATATTATTGGTCTTAATGTTGTTTTATGAGTTATAATCTTACTCGTTAACCTTACTCTTATTGGGAAATGTTCTTAAATATGCGCTTGCATTAACCCTTTGAAAATATTCGTTCAGCGCATCGCACGAGAATTTCGTAGACTTCCCTCTGACCTTCTTGCCGATTTACGCTGATGGGACAAGTTTCGCTTGGCTTAAAACGGCGTTTACCCTCTTCGTTCTCCTTCTTGGCCCGTCTTCGATTCATCGATCCTGCTGCCTTGCCCATCGCTAACGAATTTTGGTCAGAACTGACTATCAGAACCCTAGACTCGCAATCAGTTCTAGTCCCTGTCGCATTCTTTTTGTTCATTCGTTTTCGCTTGAGCTCTGGTTTTACATTTCTCTTTTCGATTTAGAATTGCGCGCCCTACACTTACCGGGCCTCGAAAACACTATCGCCGGTCCCTTGATCAAGTTAGTGGGACACTGATCTTCATTATCGTACCACCTTTTACGACGCTGTTTCTCCCTCTTGCGATCACTTGTCGGAATACTTTTGTTCCTATGATTTGTTTCGTTACAAGTGCCTGTGGTAACTACGAAATGATACTTCTTCTCCTCCTTGGTTTCTTCACTTCTCAGGAGAGCGCATCTCGTTCCACGTTCAATCGACACTTTTACGACCTTTTACGCATTATCACAACGCGTTGTCATTGGGTCGCGTTACATTCATCACTTCTGGGGCTCGTTTCATTGACACACGAACCATGTCACTACTTCACTTGACTACTTTACTTCAGAGATACTGCTCTCGTCTTACCTGTTCCGCACATCCCAGGATCACCTCTCTGCTTTCTGGTTTCACTTCAGTCTTTGCTCTGCACAGTCCGCGCCCTTACCACTCTCTCTCTACATTCACATCCACAGCAAACCAGTTTGACTTCATCACGGGCAAGTCCCTCAACGATGGCATTTAACTTTTTAACTTTTAGCTTCCACGTTTCCATTGGACTCGCAGGATTTCTCCGGCCACAGTTTGCGCCCCGTAGGTGGTTCATTCGCGTCTAAATGCGGAATTCCCGCTGAACTCAAGGAGGCTGGCGTTCCAATGCTTATATGCTGTACTTATTCTTGCCTTTGGCGGACAGACTTTTTCTTTTGAGCATTGTATCGCAGCACATACCCAGTCTAGTACCCTAGCACATTTACACTTGTATATCATTTGCTTCGATGTATACTTTATCCTTTGTCTTCTGCATCCTTGTCCTCCCCAGCGCCTCTTTCTCACTCTTCTGTGAGTCTTGTTTGGGCCTCTTTCCTTGCTTGGGCTTCTCTCAAGTATTCAGAGCTTTTTGGCAAAAATGATCCACTAGCTGTTTTTCGTGGCGTTGAGGAGCACGGAAGGACACAAGGAGGATAACTACACAAAATGATCTCAAAATGCATCTTTCCTCAGTGTCGATCATACGTATACGTCTCTCGCTTAAAAATGGTCCGCCGGAGAGAAAGCTTTCCTCACGCTTGTACTTGTACCCGCATGTACCGTTAGACTGAAAAGAACTAACTCAACCGAATCAGTTGCCGTTAGATTAATGTTTTCGGTAGGAAGTATGTCTTCTGAGTGTTCCCCTTACTTATCAGACTACTTGGGTAGAACAACCCACAGGTATACAATGCAGCAAGAAGAGGGTTCAGTTGCTGTGAATGGGATTACTGTGCTGGTGGAATAAAAGGGAAAATAATTAAAGCATTCGTTAAATTTTAGTCCTTTTGTTTCAAAGCCTCAAATTAAGGCTTTTCCTTGGGGGTAGAAGAGAAAAGTGGACTCAGGTGTAATAAAGTGAGGGGAGGTATTTATTACCTTTTTATTAAGAGGTAATAACTCACAATGGCAGTAATATGAAAATGGTAACGATAATAACAATTATGACGATAACGATAAACGCAAAACAGCATAGACAGGGACGAGGATGGGGTTGGGGTGATAATTATGATGACAATACTAGTGATAGCAGGAATGACATGGTTCCAGATCGTACTAAGTTGACAATGTAGGACTTCACCAACCACCCCGCCAACCCCCTTTCCTACAATAAGCTCTTGTCAGACTCTAGGATCTGAGTATAGTTATAAGAAATATTCAAGTCGTTGAAGAAACGAAAGAAGGAAAGAAACAGATTTTGAATTAATATGAATAAAAAAAATCCTCAGAGATAACCAGTTACCTGGCAAGGCCTTATAATTATTTTCACCCTCCCCAAGGCTTACAGAGAATACACTTGATTCCTTTAAAACCTATTCCACGTTCCTAGTCAGTGGAAACGAGCGAGGGAGCAAACGAACAACAAACGGTGACGGTGGTTGTCAAGGGAATAGTTTTTACGGATTTATGACCACCGCCCTCTGGAGTGTCTGTCATAGAAATGATGGGATAGAGAATCGACGCTATGTATTATGGGATTGAGACTCCTATAAAAATTACTGGAAGTGAAATAATTTTTGAGCAGCCTTCTTCGCTTCTTGAAGGTTTTACCTTGCAGAAGAGTTTTCCTAGAGACACATTTATGTTTTAATCATATTGTAAGTATTAACGAGAAGTAGGATACACATGTTTGATCCAATTAATGCCGTACTTTTACTTCCCTTTGATTATCGATAGCATAATTTAGTTTGTTAGTTACTAAGTAGATTCCTTTAGTTAAGTAGGAACTTAAAATACATTTATTTTAAACTCAAGATGCTGGAGACAAAATGCACCTAGTTTATTACAATTACACAATACAGCACGTGGCATTAATATAGGTGTTCAATGGCTTTATTATTCCAGCATACCTAAGGGAATAAGACGGAAACGAGAATAGCTTCTTTTAGCTTTCTTTTATTGCATTGTCTGGCCGTATCTTTGGAATACCTTTGTGATATGACGGCTGTATTACCCGTTGGGTCCTTGCACCCAGATCATTATCAATGTTAGCCTTGCTTTCAGTTCACCCTAGGAACCGTAGGAGTACCTTATTTGTGTTCAACCAAATTATAATTCAGTACCCATTCATCAAACTTCACTGAGCACATATAGGACTCTTGTATACCTGAATACGAGACAATTATCTCAACTCTTGCAAACTTAGGACCTACATTTGCAGCTTCTCATCAATTCCAGTGATATCACAGTTACAATGTGTGGGACTATTTAAACTTGAGTGGAAAATTATGTTACTGATGTACTATTACATTGCTTTTAGGAAAGAAATCAAGAAGGCAGCAATAATCATGATGGATGTTGATGGAGACCTTTCAGTTTGTAATCAGTGCGGATTCCCACTGTATGATGCTGTTATGGCAAGTCATACAAAATACTCGTGTTGTTCAGCTGACATAAACAATTTTGATTTCTGGTGAGTGAGTGGAGAGAGATAGTAACTATAACAAAGCCATTTTGTTGCTCTTTTGTCACTTGTAGATGAATTAAGGGCTTGGCAAGTCCATTACAAGCTATCCAATTGGTACTCACAGAAAGAATATTGATGAGCCACAATTTTTTTTAGGTTTGTTTCAAGTGTATCCAATATGAGTTTTCCAATTTTTAGGGTTGTAGAAGTTGTGTTTAATCTTCAAATTTACATTGTATACCCAGACAATTCTGTGCATTGAAAGTGTGATTTTTATTAATGTTACTTTTATTAATGATCTAAAAAACTAAAAAAATAGTTAAAAAAATATATTGCAAAAAGAAACAGTTTGAATATAATTAAAGCACTGAGTCACATTTCCTTAATAATCACATAACCCTGTGCCGATTTTGTTCTTTATTCCTGTAATTTTTGATGGCAGTACAAGGCATTAATTAAATGCAGTTAAATGTATGCCTTCCAATGTCCTGGATACCATATCTTCCTTTAATGTGATATGGCTACCAGTAAGAACTGAATGCGAAGTTAAATACTAAATAATTATCACTTGGTATCTTGGGTCAAAACCAGTAAAGTACTTGTTAGAAAACAAGAAAACAGCTGCTGAAGGTGTGGCACCAGACCAGTGAATAAGGAACTTGAAATTGAATGTCATTTATTCTTGGGTTTAACTCTGACTGGATTAATTAAGAGCCTTCCATTTAGATGTTTCATTGTTCCTCTTCATCTTAAGAATTCACACATTAGTTCAAAGATATAAAGTTATATTCATTCATAATCTTACTTCAGAATGTATCAGCAACAAGAGTTATTACAATTCAGAACCAAAGTATCGCTTGATAAGATTGCAGATTAGAACACCTCAAATAATTTCAAACCTAGTTGGACTTATGGTGATAACATGAAAACTTATATTTAAAATGGAATATTACTTGTCTGCATAAAAAGAGAACAGTCCTGTTATGAACTTAGAAAAATGGATATCACTCAGTCCCTTTTACTTATTTGCAGTTAAGACATTCTTTAGTCCAAACAATATGACTCACAGTCGTGACTAATTAAAGTAATTTAAAACAGTAAAGCAATACATGATAAGTTTCCTAATTAAGATCACATATTATTTCATTCTTTAATGCTAATCAAAGGCAAAGGCAAAATAAATAGACTATTTTGTTGTGGGAACTGTTAAATTTGATTGTTACATGTGTAATTTTGTTATTAATTTTTATTTGTTATTTTTTGGTTTGTGTGTGTTTGCAGATTAATGGTAATGTAAGATAAGTAAAGTTATTAATTTTATAAATGTTTCTCATCTGTATTGTAGGTGAGTCTGGTTGATCGTTTATGTGAGTATTGTTTAAGTTGAGGTGTGGCTTTACACTGTTGTTAATGTTAAAACTGTAAGCAATGTTTGTCTTTGAAATGTACGGTTAATTGTTTTTAGAGGGTTGATTCATTCAATTGCTATTGAACTGGTTACCTATTGATACTAGTTACTTATTGATACTAGTTACTTATTGAAAAGTGTAAATTGTGAAATTGAAATGAACATATTAGTCCAAGTGATGTTCTAGCATATTCAGAGTCACATGAAAAGTCACCTAGTTGACATAATTTCATGGTCTTATAGAGTAAGTGAACTTCTTGTTATTAAACTGATTTCACCTAAGGAGTTTTGTCTTTAAAAACATGGTCAAAAGGCCATGGAGACTCTGTTTTATAAGCCAGCCTTGTTTTCATGCCAAGTGAGAGCAAGTCTAGTTTTTACATAAGAATTTAGTGCAAATTTATCTTGTTCAACAAAAACATGTTCATTCTTCCCTTGAGATGATATGCAAATGTTTGTAAACGAAAGTAAAACTATAGTAATTAGTACTTTCCTATATATGAGTGTTTTTTGCATATTCAGAGTCACAGTCAGTCATGTTACATGATTCATGATTTTTTTGAGTGAGCAAACTTCCTGCTAAGAAACTGACTTCACATTAGAAATTTAGTCATAGAAAACATAGTCAAAAGGCAAGGGAACCCCTTTTTATAGTCAGCCTCATTTTCATACTGAACAGTGGTTTGTCCACGAAAACACCTTAACACAAAACTTATACCACAATTTGACTTCACAAACTACTATTAAACCTTTTCTAACTTTTGGGTTGTTCAAAACCTCAATTTTCCAGTCATGGCTTCTGGACTATAATGATGATGTCTTTACCTGCCATTTTCCTCCTGAACTGCGCAGACACAAGGCAGAGAAGTGCCTTGAATATTGAAAAGAATCACTGATTATTCTACTTAAGTTTATAACCTTCTCATCTTGTGTATAAATCAACTCTCTTTTACTTGAATTGTTTTGACTAATGGTTATCTGAGCATTATTAGTAGAATTAGAAGAATGGAAAAGGTTGATTTTGGTGCAGTCCCGTGAGTGAAGTGGGGAATGTGGTTATCATATAAATAGATTGGAACAAACAATAGAACAGTTTCAGGGGTCAGACAAAAGTCTAGCTATATGCTTCTTACATGCTTTGATTACTGGATTTCTCAATTTTAAATGGGGTCTAGTTCAATTAGTTTCAATGTGAACAAATGTGTTGAGGAAAGTTGGCTTGGTGTTGGTGCGGGAAATATATCATTTCTCCCTCTTTGCTCTCCCATTTTTCCACTTGTTTACCCCTTCAGATTGTTAAAATACAGTAATGTTTAATTCAGCCACAATTAACACTGACAATACACAGTCATCATTCCCAGTAAAACATGTATTTTAGTGATAAGTGAGTATATTCCATCTCTTGGCCAATAAAGGATGATATTACTACCTATTTTTCAACATTCCTTCAAATTACCCCACCATTCAAATATTCAAACAGTTATGCAGTTTAAAAAGATTTCAAAGCTCTTAAAAACTGACCTTTGTGTGGGTTTTAATTTTAATTAATCCTCAGGCGTTTGAACACTTCACCCGGAATGGTTTGTCTAAGCAATGAGAAACCAGCCTTTTATTTCGAGGTAGGAGTTAAAAGAAGAGTGCCTCAATAAAGAAGTGTTTTTGTTCTTTGGCCATCCTTTTGGGAAACTTTCTGTTATACATACATGTATATTTGATTTTTATTTTAAATAACTTTTGACATAAATCCCAGTGTCAGGTAGCAATTAAGACCCTCCTCTATGCTCCTCTGATCGACATGCTGTGGGATTGGTAAATCTCAAACTATTAAGTTTTATACATCTCAACTAATTCCTTGATTTCAGTATATGTCACAAATGTTACTTTTACTAAAGCATGAAACTCCTCAACCTCTTCAAGCTGTAATTGAATAACTTACAAAGTTGGATGTACATGTGACCTCAACATAGCAATAAGACAAAACAATATGTCATTGGTGAAAACAGTAGAAACTTCACTCAGATGATGGGGTTTCTTAGGGACCAGTTGCTAAAATTTTTGTGTTATGTTACACAAACTAACATGTAGATAGTTATCATGTCTGTGCCTTTCCATGCACATGCAATGATCCAAGTAATGTCCACTGAGTTAGAATTACAATAGTTAACAACTCAAAACTATTTGTGTTGAACTCTTTTTAGAGGGATAAGAAGTTTTTTGATCCTGGTGGCTGCATGGCTGAAAATCATAGTCCTACCAGAAAACAAAAGCAAACATCTATGAAATATGGTGAACGCAAAGTGAGTCAGATGACATTTAATCAGTATGAGTTAATTGATTAAATAGTCATGGCAAACTTTAACCCTTTAACTCCCAAGATCTCATTAGTAATTATCCTTAATCTCTTTCATCCAGTTCTTGTGAAGTTGGTTTGGAGAATTTGGGATTGGATCAATTTATAATCCCCTAATTTATATTTTTCTTTATTCTCAACACCTGTCTGCTTAATATTGTATTGATGTTGTGAGGAGAAATTCTGTCTTGGTCACTCATGGGAGTTAATGGGTTAATCTTATTTAGAGCTACCTTCAGTCTTAGCTGACTGAACAGACAAATTATTTTTTTTTTGGAAATTTGCTGATTCAGCAGGTCAGCTCTGAGTCATAACAACTCCCTTAATTTAGTACCAGACCAGTCTGGACAGACAGGTGTGACTAATTATAAACAACTTAAGACTCATTCAGAAATTGTTAATTCGATTGCAATTGGTTCAAGTCATTTGCGTTGAATCAACGTTAGCTTATCTTTTCAAACTAAAATTACAGTACTTTACTTTTGTATGCAATTATATATTGCATCAGTTATCATAAATCAAAATTTCAAACACACAAGGTAAAATTCCCTCGTGAGGTAAACCATTATTTGTTAGAAGTTTAACGGCCTTTGGATATGCTCTGATCTTATGCATCAATCAATTCAAAGCTTCAACATTCCCTTCCCCCCATGGCAACCCGTCCCATGGCATTCGAACTTTTTGAAGATTGAGTTGTTCAAAGTCCCACCCTCCCTTGGGTAAAAATTGTATTCAAATGCCCCACCCAAGTGCCGGTTTTGATGGTCAATTTTTTTGTAAACAGCAAAATCAACAACCATGACCTCCAACACTTTGACCAAGCTTTAGAACCTCGACTTTGTAGACCATTTCTTCAGAGCCTTATGCTCGCTAGAGTGAACTATTTACCCCTAAATGCCCCAATATTTTAAGTTATAACAATTGTATTCTGCTGGAAAGACTTGACAATTCAAGTTCAAATTTCCCACCCCAGCTAGGCAAGGTTCAAATTCCCCACCCCATAGGCATGGACGATGGTCAAGTACCTTGGGTTGCCCGGGGGATGGGTGGAATGTTAAAGCTTAGAATTGATCAGCGCATTAAATGCTAAAGAAAAAAAATTATTAGAATGCCAATAATATTTGTCAAAATTTGCCAATTTTTCCAGGAAGAGCCATGTGGCACACAGTTGTCTACAAAAGAGAACCTTGTTAATGAAAGAGACAACAGTGAATCTGAGGGAGCAGTGACAGTGAATGCAAACGCCATTTTGAGCAAGGAAAAGGCAGGTTCTTTCTTTAAATTAACATTTACCAATTATTAATTCTTGATTTTCTCTTGGGCATTGTCATGACTTTCAATCTCTTTTGGAAGTAAAATTTTTAATTGTGAATCGCCTTGAACGCGTGCCTAATATTTTTCAATGACTTTGGACAGGCGTATTATACCTACCTTTGTGGATGGTGTGATGCTCAAGCTTACATGTAATTGCCTCTATGAACTTGTTAAGCTACGAAGGCAAGTAGTTGTGACCACTTTTGTCATACCTTTACAAAAGAAACTGAAGCCCTTCAGGTGTACTTTTGAATGACTGTTTGATCTTTTGTTCTACGATTAAGAGTGACTATGAATTGAATAGGGCAATTAAGTATTATCAACTGAGTTGATAACGCAAATTAGCCACCGTAAAGAGTTTCAATGCTGACGTTTCGAGCGTTAGCCCCTCGTCAGAGCGAAATTTCGCTAATAATACTACAATACTACCCTGTTGTGCTCTCCCACCGACGCAGCACCACAGTTTGTTTAGAAACTTACCCCTTTCTAAACTGAAAAATCAAGCGAACAATTGAAGATCGCAATCTCAATTGCTAGCTCGATTCAGTAGTGGAAAGCGACTGGGTACAAACTATTAAATGTTTCACTCATCATTAATACCGCAATGAGCGATGACGTGTTTTACAAGAATTAAGTAATCAATCGGTCGTTCTGTCTACAATTATGGGAGTTTATATGATATGTGGTTGATGTGCACAGTTTCACTTCTTTAATAAACCAACATCAATCTCACTCTCCCTGTTTTACTTTTCTTTAACCATCTGTGTGACTTTTTTATCCTATCGATGTACAGCGTGGTACTGGTTGGATTCAAGCTCTGCACGGCTATTTATTTCATGCCATAGACGCTTGAGCCCAAATTTTGTCTTGCCTTCAGCTCCACCAGTGGTTCCCAACTTCGTTGCCCAAATTAATACTTTCAAAAATTTTTATCTCTGTTAAATAGCCAAAAGATGTAAGCACCAATGAAGACAGAGAACTCCAAGTAGATGAAGGTTTGCAAATCCCGTCTACGAACAGAAAGGTGAGTTCTGGTATAGCAGCAGTTGTAAATGGCTATACGAATCGTATGCTCCCTAATCCTACCAGATAATTTTGTTTCCTCTCTTAAGGTCAACTAATGATTTTATATCCGAAACTGAAATCACTTTCATGCATTCCCTTAGTCAGACATAAATTTAAGACGCTGAAATAACAGAACTTAGTTCATCTTTGACTGAATAGGCGAATGGAAGGACGGGCCAACAACAAAAAGATGGATGGTTTGTAACAACCACACAACAGTGTTCTCTCAAACACTTCGCAACGGCTCTTTGCTTTGTTCCTTTTTCCTGATCAGAGATGAGAATTTTCCTTATGTATTATCACCAACCCAGTGCTCTCACTAAGTTTTTAAGGCCAGGTAGTGATTGATTTTTGAACACAGTAACAAAAAGAAAAAAGGTCTTGTTTTGGTGGTGAGTTGTTTACTAAACTCTGCCCTCGCTTATTTCCGAGTTATGAAAATATGCCGGTAAACAGGCGCTGGTTTCCGATTTTACTCGATCTAGTTTCCCCATTTTTTTCCAGCAGTAGAGTGAAACAAGGAACACAAACATTGATAAACTAGAATGAGTTTTATCACTCATTTGTGTTAGAAGAGATCAGACACTATTCCGGCTTAAAAGCCAGTGAGAGAGCAGGATAATTTTTCCACCTGTCACTTGTTAGAGTGCCATACTGACGAGTCTCCCTTGGCCTATGAGGCCATCCTCAACATCTTCGGAAGCCTCGATTTTCAATCCTGCTATCTGATTGATCGTGACACCCATATCAAGTCACGTGGCACAATCCCTATCATCTGTCTCAATGGTAACTACAACGACAAGAGCCCATCAACCTGTGCATTTTGTTTATGTCAGTGCTTTACTACTCTGTTTTTTCCCCCTCACAGATTTTAAACGA